TACAGCCCCCCCCCCCCCAAAGTCTGCAGAAATTCTCCTAGCCAGACCTCTTGGAGCTTTAACTGAGAAATAAAAGTCCTCACAGGTGTTTTCAAATTCTTCTGCTAATTCAGACTTTGGCAGCTATTTTCATTCTGTAGAAAAGACAAGGGGCATGGGTTAGCAGGGCTGAGTTCTGTGGGAGTTTCAAGAGAATTATGGTGGGATAGTTTATGCCCATTAGGCAAAGGAAGCATCTCAAAAAAGTACTAGATCCGTAATTCTTTGTTGCTCCCATATAGTTTAGTTCTAACCACCCATTTCCCCATCATGTTTGCAGAATGAAAATGGCTGCTATGGTCTGAATTAAGTGGATAGTGTGGCTTCTTTTAGTTTATTCCAATATCTTCCCTGCCACTGCCAGGTTGAACTCCATGGGGCTTTCCTCCATCTGCTCTCTGGGCTTCTTCATAGTTATTTTGAATAATAACTATGAAGAAGCCCCTTAACTCCTCTTAGGAAATATTGCCCTTAATTCTTCTAAGGAACTATAAACTAGTCGTATCCAGTAGTCTTTGGGGGGCCATGACCATGGTAATTGGTCCCTCCTCTGTGGAGAGATGTAGTTGTGCAAAGTCCTGTTCTCAGCAGATTACTTGACCATGACAAGGGGGTGGACTCAAGGTTCACTGTTTTCAGATCATCCTCTCCCTGTCCTGACATGAACATCAGGTTGAGGGTATGACTGTGACATGCACGGGTCCACTGAGATGTTGGGACAGGCCCATGGCAATCATGACCTTCAGACCTCTTCTGATCAACTGCACCTTCACATGTATTTTCATGTCCCCTAGAAGCAAAGGTCTGGGGGGACCTCAACACAGCAGTGGAGAAGTATTCTGTGAGATATGCTATGGAGCGTGCTGGGTCGCAGGTAGAATGTTTACACAAACATTAGGCCTGCTCTGTCCCAGTGGTGCAGCAGGTGAAGACAATCCAGATCCGGGCCTGACAGAGCAGAGATCCTTCTGATATTAATGGAGTTTATGTGGGCTACAGCAGCACCCCTTCCCTGCCCCTTTAGCTGGACATGATATGATGCTGGTTCGAATATCCCGAGGGATATAGCTGGGAAAGGACAACTCTCCCTTCCTCTCTCACCCATGTTTATTTATATTTATTTATTTATTAGTTTCAGTTATACATGCTAGGTTGGCCTTTTCATCTTCTATCAGGTATAATATTAGTTCATATTTATTTTGGATGATCTGGCATTTAATAACAGCTTGGTCAGATCAGAAGGTCAGATGCTAGAGTAACCTTGATACTGCTGCCTGAGAGGAGGGACAGAACAGATATTGCTAATCTGAGGCATGCTTTCCTGCAAGGGTCTGTCTGATATCCTACTATCAGGTATAATATTTAAAATCATTGTTAGGGCCCTGCTCTCTAAATTTTTGTCCTGAAATGCTAATTGTTACTTAACTCCCTTCCACCCAGCTAGCTGCCCATTCTATACTTGGTCTTTTTTTTTAAAGGTACAATAAATAGAGAAATTAGCAGTTATTCATTTATCCCCTCATTGCTTCCTCCAGTTCAAATTTAACCCATTCTAGTTGAATGCATAGAAAAAGTCCCTTTACAGCACTAGGATCCCAACAATAGATTAGTTAAATTAAATAATTAAATTATTTAAATACATCAATAAGGCTATGAGCTCTATAAAAATTGAATAAAGGAAGAGCAGCAAACATCAGGGCAATCAATTAATAAAGTAGAAACAAAGCAAATGGTTCATCTGTCATAACAGGAGATTTGTGTGTTCTTAGGTGAGTGTCCCGTCTTTACACTTTAAAGAGCAAGGAGAAACTCTTCCGTTCTGTGTAGATGATTAGATAGATGCTGATAAATTACATCCTTTTCCTGTCTCCTTCAAGATGGTATGAACAGTCTGTAGTAATTTAAGGAGACGGGAGAGAAGTGTTCATTCTCCACAGTAGCAAGTTGAAGTAGGTGTCATTGACTCAGATTGTAAATTCTTAATGGCAGGGTTGTAAATGTCAGGCCCATAATGTGTGCTCAAATAAGCAGACTCACATGTGTCTTGCTAAAAATCTTAAGGTCCTGTAACAGTGCTTTATCCTGGTTTGAAGGTTTGAATGCAAACTGTTTGTTGATAAGATACTGTAATCACACTCACCTTAATTATTGTCCAGATTTCCAGTTCGTCTCACAAGATAAAGCAGGAAGGAGGGCCAGAGGGTGGCTAGCTCTTTGCTGCTGGGACAGTCTTACAGAGCCCTGATATGCTGAACAGAGTCCTTTTCTGCAGCTTCAGCAGCTGATGTAATGCAGTAATGGTTAGCTTAATTAATATAATTAAGCTTTACCCATTCTGATGGTTTCATGAGCAGTGTGGACTTATCCAGATACTGTATATTAGAAATGAAGCTGCCTTTCACAGTCACTTCATGTTGCTGACACTGCCAGACATGCAGTTTGCAGCCTGGAGTCTTTGCTACTCAGTGCTGAAAAATGAGCTACCTCTGTCCAGTACTTCAGAGTCTTGTCTCTTTTTAGATCTTACCAAGCAATTGATAGCAATAAATCAATGGAAAACGGAAGAAATATCTCAGCTTTTCTTTAAGAAATCTAATAAGCCTGAGATGAAGAGTGAGAAGATGGAGGTTGTTATCTTCATGTGGTGTTGTTTGGTGGGGGGGCTACCGGAGGGGCTGTAGTCCGTGATTTCCCAAAATCCCAATGCTTAATATTTTCTCCTAGCAGTAGTTTCTTGTCCACAGTATAGATTATGCATCAGGACAATCAAATTGTCTTCTTTTTTTCTAGAACAATCCATAGTTTCTTAAGATCCACACAGTCAGTGGATTTGCTGTATTCTATAAAGCATGGATTGACCTTCTTTTGAAATTCTTTGGTATGCTTCAATAGCCAGTGTATATTTGTAATATAATCTCTAGTGCTGCTTCCTTTTCAAAATCCAGCTTGAACATCAGACATTTTTCATGCCATATATAGTACAAGTCTTTGCTGCAACCTTGAACATCGCTTTGCTTGAACAGGAAATTAGTGCAACAGTTGTATAGATACATAACTTTATTACAGTCAGTGATTAATATCCACAATACAAATAAACCATAAATACTTTAAATATATTATTCCAAGGACCTGTATTATTATTACCCTAAAACCATAATAAAATCTCCTAATGGGATAACTAGTACTGAATGTGTTTCATTCTTTAAAAGTTGCTGCTGTTAACTAAAATTAATTATAAACTTACTAAAACCTTTCCTTCACAAATTTTGACTGAAGCTGCACAGAATTTAGCCACATTAAACAACATACTTATATTCTGCTCCGAAACCAATAAACGTTTGTAATACGCCTCCGAATGTCAAGGAAATGTTAAAAAAAGATTCCTAAAATTTTTTCAAGTATCAAGATAAAAAGAGCAATGCAAAGAACATAAGTTATTGTTTCAATTCCTCAGGAATTACAAGGACATTTGTGTTGGCAATGTGAAATCTTTTTAAACTTCCCCTCCTGGACTGCTGATGGCATAGCATTGGGCAAAAGTGCTTTTGTATTGTTAGTATTTAATAATATTTTAATGTATGGTCACAGACCTGAAAAAGTATTGTTAGTAAATAAAAATAATTAGTTGGTTTAAAGGGTAGGTATGCTGTTATCAACTACAATATTGTTTGAAGTTGCGCCTAGATCACATTGCCTCTTGACCTCTGCAATGCATTGTCTGAGGTCTAGTTTAGCTGCATCATCTCATAAGGATAAGGCATTCTACAGAGAAGCTATTCCCCCAAAGTTTAGCCAATAAAGCTTTCTTTCAGACTGATTGAAAATTGTAGTAAAGGGTTGTATAGTTACTGCACTCCTTGACATACTTTTCCTTGGGGACTAGAATGTATATGAATTATTCTAGTTTGTGGGCCATTGCTTTGAATTCCATATTTGTGAGAGATTCTGTTGGAGAAAAATAACAACCTTACATGCTTACTAACACTAGCTTTTAGTGGGGAGGTGTTATAGGACCTAGAAGGATTTTCTTGGGCTAAGGTGACTGCTTACCTTTTTTACTAACCTACTAGCAAAGTCTGTTTTCCTGGGCTTCAGGTAAGTCACTCCCCTCTTTCTGTTCTGTTGTGTGCTCTCCCTTTCCTTTCCTCACCATCACTGAAGGCAGACATTATTTGGCTCTACTTATAACTTTTTGCCGTGCAGCTGCAGTGGTGAACTGAATTTGCCACAATGGTTGGGGCTGGAATTCCTTTCTTTTATTCTTCTTTACTTTCTAATTGTAACTGAAGAATTATTTATGAGTAAATATTATTTTTATTTCTTATTTGTGCATTAAGCTAGTTGTAGTGTCATTTATTACAAATAAAGTGGGCTGGCTTGGAAGGTTTTAACTATACTGTACTCTCACATTTCCTAGTGCTGTAGTTGGGTGTTATTTTTTTTGTACTCTATACTCTGCTTACAAAGGGAATCAATCAATTTTTTTAAAAAACATATATTGTTAGAATATATAAATTTTAAATTAAAAATGTATATATTATTGTTAAAATTTTGATTCAGATTCAGTCTCTGTAGTTTAGAATAATTCTATTGGTATCCTATCTACTCCTGATAATTCATTTATTCTAAGAGTTTTCAGAGCAGCTTTCACTTGGCTTTCTAAACTTACAGGTTCTTCATCACAGGATTTCTTTCCAAAGGAATCTGTCTTCCTTGTATCTCATCTATATTGTTCTTCAGTATATTTTTTATCATCTCTTTATTTTATCCTGGGCAAATAGTATGTTCCCTTACTGCTCTTTTAGTATCTCTAGCTTTATTTCTTTGCTATGATCATTGTAATAGCTCTCTTGGACTCTATGTAATGCTGCAGAAGGACTCCTATAAATGGTGTTAAGCATAGAACTTTATTAGCATACCCTGTGTTTTTTTAAACTTCTGGATTTGTCTTCTTTTTACAGGTTAGTCACCAGAAGTCTTACAGAGAATAAACTGATCACCTTGCAGAATACCATCAATGAGAAAAGAAGTGTAACCTCTGGTGAGACTTCGATACTGTCTGCATTATCGATAAGATTGTATGATACACGTAATAGTGTAGTAACACAAAATCAAATTGTATTATATTCAGTAGATTTCAGAGAACAAATAGCTCATTCCATTCTTGTTGTGTCAAAGTAGTAATTAAAACTGACTTGTAAAGCTATTCATTCATAATGGGTGGTTTGTGTGACATAATAAATAGCTAATATACTTAAAGTGTTTTTGGACATATTTTTAATGGCTGGAATTCCATTGCTCAGCTTTATACTGTGCATGACTGATGTCATAAACTGTTTTGGGGGAATTGAGAGTTTCTGGTCCCCTACTCAGTTCCAAGGCTCCCTGTGGAACTCTTTTGTCCTGGCAATCCCTTTGCGAGCTGTGAGATGGGGGTAGGCACTCTTTAATGTCCAAAAAATCACTACCACCACCGGTACCAGCAGTGGAACCAGTGCCAGTGGCAGTGATTTTTGGAGGCTCTGCCCACCCCCCATCTTGCAGCTCCCAAATACTTGTGTAGGACAGAAGGGATCTCTAGGGTCTCTTGAACCCTGAAGGGGGATTGGAAACTTTTAGTTCCTCTCAATGGCCACAGCTGATGATGTCATCAACTTTGCATGGCATAAAGTTACACAACAGGATTCCAACCAATATATTTAAAATAAATGTGAGATTTCTCAGACAGCTTAAAAAGTAAATAATGAATACACAATGAATCTTTGTACAATTAGACTTTTTATTCCGTTTTCTTCCTGTTGGGTCCTCAAAACCTGCCGGGGGCGCACAGCAGAGTGCAGAGAAGGGAGGGAGAATATTCCCTTTTGCTTTGCTGTTTACAGTTCTGTTAGTGGAACAATTGGATTCTACATAATATTTTGTAAAAATACTACTATATAAGCATGTTCTCTGTTATGCTAATAAATTGTAAAAACGTTCACTCAGTTTTCCTTACTTTTTTTGGAATTGTACTTTAGTGATGTACTGCAAGGTTTAATGTTTCTTTTTCTTTGATTCCCCCTCCCCCCCTTCAAGCTCAGACATGAGCAGTGCTAGTAACTCACTGGCACGTGAATTTTTGTCAGATGTCAGCCAACTTTGCAATACAGTGGACCAAAGGGTGGAAGCCAGGGAGGAGGAAGAAGAGAAAACACACATAGCAGCACTTGGACAATACCTTGTTCAAGGTCGTGGATTCATTTTACTTACTAAACTTAATTCCATAATTGATCAGGTAATACTTTACTTTTCATAAATATTAAATAGATTTGGCTTGAATGGTGTTCATTTGATTAGAAAAGTACAGTGGTGCAGCGCTTAGCAATGTTAAGCGATTTTAAAAAGCCCATAGAAACGCATTAAAACGCGTTTAATGCATTCCTATGGGCTTAAAAACTAACCTTATGCAAAAATCCTCCATAGGGCGGCCATTTTCGGTGCCTCTAAAATGAGGCAAAACAGCGGGTGGCCATTTTTTTCCCAGCGGTCATTTTGGAACCGCCAATCAGCTGGCCGAAAATGGGGGCTTTGCGATGATCGCTTCCCTGCGATCATCACAAAGCAAATTTTCCCCATAGGAAGCATCACGAAGCAATCGCAAAAACAGCATCACTAAGCGATTTCGTCACTCAACGGAGCGATCGCTAAGATAGGCACCACTGTATGCTTATTTCAGATCAAGAGAACTTTGAATGCTGATAAAGGCTGTATGTTTTCCATTGTGTTCATTATTCCAATGGGTAATTTTAATGGAGAGAGAAGACTCTTGGTTTCCAACAACTTCAGATAGGATAGGAGCTGATAGAAGAGGTTATTTGGATGGGCAGTGCAATTCAAACTCAAACATGGGCCTCCTGTAGTGAGTGTTGAATGAGCAGAAGCTTTGTTGACAGTATTTCACCTGTGTCATTGGAATTCGATCTGCTGCAGCTGGATCTGCCAGCACAACTCCTGTGCTGGTTGTAATCAGCTAGCAGAAGAATTTTAAGAAGGTGCAAAGAAGGCCTGGAGTGGAGAGAAGCTGAGTTAAGCTACATCCAAGCCACTCTCAGTTCAGACTCACAGCCACTATACCTGTATGAAGTTATGGTTGGGGCCATTCTCTGTAAGCTTGTTTAAGCAAAATAGTGGAATAGTTTTCAGAGCTGAACTATGCTGGATCCAAATGTTATCCAGCTCAGGGACACAGCTGCTGTGCTTACACAAAGTTAGGCCAAAATGATGGTAGCCCTAAGCCTTTTTCGACTTTCCTAGGATAGGAGGCATTGGTCTTAGTACCACTTCAGCTGGCCTAGTATCAGCTTAGTCAGCCCTCAGCCATCTTGGCTATTGGGCAGCACTTCATTTCAACTGGGGCTGATGAAAGCAGGTACACTGTTAAAATCTAGCTGAGGATATGTAAGGAATTTGCATGGGGGACCACACATGCCTTGCTGAAACTATGGAATTTAGGACTAGAAATAACTAGATGTCTTGGGATAAATAGTTGCACCTTATGAAACACATTGACAGTGGAAAGTATGAAATATGAGATGTGACAACTGCTGGAAATTATCTGTAATGGCTTAAACTAAGCGATTTTGCCTGCTGAATGGTCACATTACGTTCATATGCAATAGGTATCAGTATTTGGCAAAGTAGATTTCATCTGTCTTGTGGCAATAAAAATGTTGGACATGCCATAGAAATTGATAATTATCTTAGTTTAAGATGTCAATGGTTGGGTAGAGTATGTTGCTTCTACAGCCTGGCCTGGTTAAATCAGTTTAGAGATACAGTGGTGTCCCGCTTGACGACGATAATCTGTTCCAGGAAAATCGCTGTTAAACGAAATCGTCAAGCAAAAAAAAAAAACCACTGGAATGCATTGCCAGGAAAATCGCTGTTAAACAAAATCGTCAAGCAAAAAACACACCATTGGATTGCATTGAAAACTGGTTAATGCATTCCCATGGGGAAATACCTCATCATCCAGTGAAGATCGCCCATAGAGAACTACCGATCAGCTGTTTAAAATTGCTGTCTTCCGAAGCAGGGGTCCAGAAAACAGCCATTTTGCGAAGGGAAGCCAGCCATTTTGCAAAGGGAAACCATTTTGCGGAGCCAGAAAAAACATTGTTTTGCGAACAAACAGTTCGCGAAGCAGGGTCCTAATCAACGCCAAGCAAAAAAACCCATAGGATCCATCATTTTGCGATCGCAATAGCAATAGCAAAAAACTCATCGTTAAGCAATTTTGTCATCAAGTGGGGTCGTCATCAAGTGGGGCACCACTGTATTTTAAAGCTCTACTTTGCCTTCCTATCACAGTAAAAAAAAAATCACATTTGCCACATTGGGTTTACAAAATTTGCATCAATGAAACAGTAATAAAAATGCAACATAAATAATAAGATTATTGGATACACTGTGGGGTTTAGCGAGCTTACAGTAACTTTCTTTGGGTTTAGTTTTGTGACCTTCATCCAGTCTTTTCTGAGCTTTGGTACCAGTTCAGCACTTCTGTTGTCGGAGAAAAATCCAGTATAAACAAGAAGTAGACCTGGGTGTCATCAGCATACTGGTGGCAGGTTATTTAAATCCCTGGATGATCTCACTTGGCAGTTTTATGTAGAGTTAAAAACCTTTGCACTGTGCATTGCACTGAATCAGGCAAATTATACAAATTAATGAAATCAGTCAGTCAGTTTCAGTCAATGCAGATAAGCTATGTCATGTAAGATATCATAGAAATGTCGAATAGCCACCTTCTTGAGCATCTTGCACAGGAAGGGAATGTTAGTGACTGCCTGATAGTTATTACAGTGAGGTCTTTTTCAGCAGCAGTCTCAAGGGATACTTGATTCAGGACAGTTGGATCTAGATGGTCTTTCCCTCTTTTCCCCTGTTATTATCCAAGACACATGAACCTGATAATATAGATGGTTGGAGCCCAGTAGTGCAATATTGTACAGATCCTCACACCTTGGGTCCTTGAGTGAGGAGAAAGTCAGACTATAAATGAAAGTAATAAAGAAGATAAAAAGGTGACATTAAATCTTCCTCACGTTTCAAAGCAGCAAAGTAAATAACTTCTTTTAGATGGCATATTTTTTATTCCAATGACTTGTGTGTGGATGAAATACTAGCTTTACTTCCTTCATGATGGCTGTACAAAGTAATAATTTGAGCACTTCATTTGCTGTTACTTAATTCCATGTTTCCTCAGACCAACACAGGTGATTTATTTTTGTCGCTGGCTGAAATCGTGTTTGTGTATGTTCTGCAGGGTAAGGCATAAAATCATCCTGGTAGCAGCGATTTTCGGTAAATAAAGATTTTCCCCTCCCATTCCTTGGCCCCCACAGGTTTCCAATGATGAAAAGGTTTACTTAGGAACTGTGAAAACTTCGTAATGCAAGGGTGAAATGTTTAATTTTCAAAAAATTGCCCTCACTGATGACATTATCATCTTTATGCTACAGAATTTACACAAATAGGATTTCAGCCATTGTACAGTAATTCGCCCATGAGTGACAAATTCTTCTAGCGTGAAAATCTTAATTGCAAGGATATACTAAAACCCTGTGTTTCTTTAGACAGATTTGCAGCATATTAGGCTATACTGTCATTTTGGGATTCTATTTGACAATTTAATTTAAATCTTAACATACTGTTAGTTTGTGATACTACTGGAGAAAATGGTCTGGTAGCTTTGGATAGTGTATTAAAATCACAGTGTCAACCCAAACCTGATATATGGTATGTGACAGCTTCAATGTTTAATGCTGCATAAGGCTGATGATGTCATCAGTTTGGATAATTTTTTGGAAATGAAACATATCCTTCTTCTGTCTTAGAGCACACACTGCTCTTGTTTAATCCTTTGTATTATTGGGAACCTGTGAGTGTCACAGGATAGGAGGAATAAGTATTTAATTAATGAAAATCACTACCGCTGGGATGACCTTACCAGAAGTGGTGATTTTTGGTAGCTAGACTTCTTCCTCTTGTCCTGTAGCCCTCATAGATTCCCAACAATGTTAGATATTAGACAGGAGTGGTGAGTACCTTGGGACAGAAGTAGGAAATGTTGAATTTCTGAAAAATTGAATTGTTTTGAAGTCACCAGGCTTACTTAGCATAACTTATGTGAGCAGAATTACAGTTGACAATTTCTAATGTCCATTAAAATACAGACTGTACATAAGCTTTGGTTTCCTAAATAGGAGCTGACCTGTCGAGAAGATCTCCTTACTCTCCTCCTGTCACTTCTGCCTCTAGTATGGAAAATACCTGTAGAAGAAGAAAAGGCAATAGGTAGGAGTTCTTTCTGTGTCTCTGAAAAAGTGGATAGAAGCATACATAGAAATAAATTTGTAAGTCTTAATGGTGCCACAAAAGTTTTTGTTTTTGTTGTTGCTGCTAAAGGCTAATAAGGCTATTTCTCTGAATTGAATTAAAATTATATCCTTTGATATTGGTTTCAGATTACTGATTGTGTCCTTAAGCGATTTCAAATTGTAAATTTTTATATGCTAAGTTATTAAATATTTCTTTAACTTTCTGTGCAAAATATCCTTTCCTGTGGTCAATATGTCTAACTGCAGATCCTGTATCTTCATCATTCTTATAAAGTGTTACATTTTTGGAAAGATTCCCACTGCAGCTTTTAAACACTTTAATATTATTCAAGATCTGCAGGCAAGGCACTTGGCACTGAACTTCTGGCAGCTGGTTTTTGAGCAGATAGCATGTTCACCATTGCTTTAAAATATTCATATTGCGGAAATTCAGTATAAAATTTGATTTCAAAGGACATGCCTGTTGCATTTGTCAAGCTTTTGCAGTGTTGGAGCTCCTGATTGTGACTCATTATGAGTCAGCAATTATGCCAGAATAGCGCAGGTGTGACATAGAATATTCAAGGCCATGAAAATGTTGGTATGTAATGAAAACAACAAGGGTCCTTCTTATATGAGCCATAATTATATGGTATTGGGGATACCATAATACACACAGCTGTACACAAGACTGTCAAAGCACTGAGCTTTCTATAGTCCACACAAAACCTAATTTCCTCTTGGATTTCTCCTGGGGGGGTGTCCTTGCAACCAAAACAACAGGACTTGACCATGGGCTATTTGAAGGTTTGATGACATTTAATTTCAGCATAGCCTCTATCTTTCTCAATTAGTTCAGCATGTGACATACAGCTCTATAAGGAGATGAACACACAGGTGGATGGTCTTTGGTATTAATTTCATGCTGAATTGGGGAAGTAAAATGAGGCTTGTTAGAAAAAATAGCTCGGTACCTTTGAATAAGAGCTAAAAGCTTCTCTTGTTGAGTTTCAGGTACCTCTGAGTCCAAATACACATCCTCTCAGGTACCAGCATTCTGAAATTCTGACAACATATCCACAATTTCATCTTCCTCTGACTCCTTGACAGCATTATACTTCGGCACCACAGATCTCTCAACGTAACACTTAAGACTGTTAGCATGATGCACCTGTGATTTCCTTTCTCTGTCAGACCTCTGGACCACATAATTGTCAGACCTCTGGACCACATAATTAACATTTCCCATCTTCTGAATGACATTGCAAGGGCCTTGCCAATTAATTTGAAGTTTTCCCGTTTTTAAAGGATTCAAAACCAGCACTTGATTTGCTTAAGGAGGATTGGGAAGGTGTGATTCTGAAGTCTTCTATGCCAGTAGCCCAATATGTTTATGAACTGCAAAAGATACTGAGCCAGATCCAGAGCATAGCTAAAGAGAACATTGAATTTGCTCAGGAGCAACAAAAGTTTTAACATGATGCTAAAACCAGCATAGAGAATTTAATGTGGGTGATCAAGTCGTGTTGTTTTGGTTATCAGTCCTGAGAAATGGCCTTGGCTTATCAAACAGTGTCCAGGCACCATGTAACACATGCAAGTCCTGGGAAATAAGTACTACAAAACCCATATCCTCACAAAGACATTGGGAATCTCATATGGGTCCTATATCATGGTAAAAGAGATTAGAAATTCGTTTATGGCAAGAAAAGCATTGTGAGTTATGAAATGCTCCCAAGCCCCATTACATGTATAACCCATACAGCCCAGATTGTGTTTAAGCTCTCTGTGAAGCCTCTGTGCCAGCTGAAGTCATCTAACTATCATTTCTGCCTTCCAACAGATTTCGTTCTGCCCTTCTCCATCGAGATATGCTTGACCAAAGAGACAACTCTGGGTTCTCTCAAATCTACTCAGGAAAAACAGACCCCAGAAGAAAATTCTCATCCGTCCACTCAGGCACCTGTAAAATCAAATTCTTCTTCCTGGAGAAGTCGACATCAGCGCAAAACGACCCATCGCTATTCTGTGAGGGATGCAAGGAAATCCCAGTTATCCACTTCTGATTCAGAAGGCAATTCAGATGAGAAGACTTCTGCAGTGCTGAAGCACACACGGTCCCGGGTTTTGCAGCCTTTTCTAAGCAATCTGCCTAAGGAGCAATATATGACAAGTAGAAGTACATTTCTAGAAGCGGAAGAGGCCCAGAGTTGTAGGGTCGATACTGATGATTCCAAACAGATCATTCCAGTTCAAGAAATCAGTTCTCAGGCATCAGATGAGGCAGCTGCTTCATCTGCAAGCTGCCTAGATAATTCTTCTTTTGACTTGTGTCATGTTTTATTGTCCTTGCTAGATAAGCTGTGTAAGTTTGATATTGCATCGAACCACAAGTCTGCATTGGCAGCCAATGTGGTATCCACACTAACAGAACTTTTGTTCAAACTTGGAGATTGTTACAGTGCAGGTGCTGCTGCTGAAAATGAAGTAGTTTCTTCAAGCTGGACAGGAGAACCTGTTGCTCTGATTCAGAGGATGCTATTTCGGACAGTGTTGCGTCTTATGGCTATGGATGTTAACAATGCTGAGACTATGCCTGTCAATTTGAGAAAAAACCTTATTGATTTACTTAAAGCAGCTTTAACAGCTAAATGTTTGCTGGAAAAACCATATCATTCTTTCTTTTCAAGACAACATGGAGCTTTACAGAAGGAGATCCAGGGTGACCTTGCTTTCTCAAGATATCGCCACCGGGCCCTGCTTTTGCCAGAGTTCATAGAAGGAGTTTTGCAAATCCTGATTTGCTGCCTTCAGAGTGCAGCTTCCAATCCTATTTATTTTAGTCAAGCAATGGATCTGGTCCATGAGTTCATACAATACCAGGGATTCAAACTGTTTGAGGATACCATACGCCAGCTGGAATGGCTTGTTGCAAGGGACACTGAGGTTAACACAGAGGTGCCAGAGTATCTCAAAGCCCTCATCAACAGCATTATGAAAATAATCAGTACTATAAAAAAAGTGAAGTCAGAGCAACTTCACCAGTCTGTGTGTACAAGAAAACGACACAGGCGGTGTGAATATTCTCACTTCATGCATCATCACCGAGACCTCTCAGGGCTGCCAGTTTCTAGTTTTAAAAACCAGGTCTCTAAGAACCCATTTGAAGAATCAGCAGATGGGGAAGTTCATTACCCTGACCGGTGTTGCTGCATTGCAGTTTGTGCTCACCAGTGCCTGCGATTGCTGGAACAGCTTTCCCTTGGTAGCACATGTTTTCAGATCCTATCTGGCATCCATAATGTGGGCATATGTTGTTGTATGGATCCCAGGTCTGTAATTATCCCCTTACTTCATTCTTTTAAGTCACCTGTATTAAAAAACTTTCAGTCACATATATTAAGCATTCTTAATAAATTTATATTGGACCAACTTGGAGGAGCACAAGTTTCTCAAAAACTGACGCAGGCCTCCTGCAATATTTGTACCATTGACTGTGACCAGCTTGCTGAATTAGATGATGTCCTCCATGGCAATGCTTCTGATGTTATTTCTGCTTTAAGTTCAACTCCGTATAGGTTTCAAGGAATTTTGCCTAGTCGAGGGTCTGAAGATATGTTGTTGAAGTGGGATGTCTTGGAGGCATATCAGAGCCTTGTTTTTGAAGGAGATGACAAACTGCACTGTATGCAGATAGCTAGCCATGTGTGCAATTTGATTCAAAAAGGTAATGAGGTTATTCAGTGGAAACTGTACAATTATATATTCAGCCCAGTGCTCCAGAGAGGTGTTGAACTGGCTCATCAGGGCCAGCAACAAGGTGTTTCTGCAGCTTTCAGCCAAACAGACAGCTACCACAAGAAATGTTTGCCTCAGGAAGTGCTTCAGATCTATTTACAGACTCTGCCTTCATTGCTTAAGTCCAGGTTTGTTCATTTAAACTATAATTTTAGAATGATGTAACTTATATTATGGCGGGTGAGAGGTAGTCGAAGAGTTGTTTTAAACATGCTTGAAAGCATAAGCCTAAACAACAAAAGGAAGAAAGGAAAGTAAAGGGGGGGGGGAGAAAAAAATGTCAAAGTGCTTTAAAAACCAAACTGAGTGATAATTAAAATTTACCTTGGTCTCTTTCTTAGTAGATGGTCAGCATATAAAATTTAACACCAGGCTCAAATATACTTTTATTCTATATTGCTGGCCAAAATCTTATTACTTATATTTATTAGTGTGAGTCAGCCATTGTACATCAGTGGTATATTGCACCTAGTCAAGGAGTCCACACTTACATTCCTTGCTGTATGTTAAGTTGTCTGAGTAGAGCAAGAAAACAAATGAAAGTGTCACCTGCTTTATTTTGTTTGTTAAGTGCATCAGATAAATAGTGACCTTAAGAGGTTTTAAATGTATGCGAGAAGTTTAAAGAGTGGTTGAACCAGCACTACCCCCCAGTGGGTTTCCATGGCCAGGTGGGGATTGGAACCCAGCCTCCTGAGTCCCAATCCACCTTATTTCACCAGCAGCAATTCACTGCTGAGTTTATATTATTTGACTTATCCTGACAAATGTGAATGATAGGATTCTGGCCAGTGTTAAAGCTAAACTTCATCACACAAAATAATCTAGAATCCTGTTTCATTCTTAATTGCTTTAAAAATGTATTAATGAAATGGTGCTTTTTACTCTCCTTTGGCTTGTAGCTAAAGTAGCACATACAATAGCAAAGCTGTACAGTATCTTCACGTTTTGTTCTTGTGACTTTCATTTCATGACTTAGTGTCTGCCTTTCTCTGCAGAATAATACGGGAGTTGTTCTTAAGCTGCAATGGAATAAATCAAATGACTGAGCTAAATTACTTGGACTGCATAAGAAGTTACACCTTGAAAGTATTTGAGACATTAATATTTTGCCTTGGTGACCAGCAGACAGATCAGTTGATGCCAGATCTCGATGGCTTAGATGACGAGCAGAAGAAGTCTGTGTTAGAGCTTGGTGTTTTGGTTCAGAGCAAACAAGCCACTTCGGATGTGCCTCAAAGCTTAAGCAAGTTTTATGCTGGACTTAAAGAAGTTTACCCAAAGAAGAAGAAATCACTCAGTCAAGATGTTCACATCAACATGATAAACATATTTCTCTGTGTTGCTTTTCTGTGTGTCAGTAAGGAAGCAGATGCTGATCGAGATTCGGCTAATGATTCTGAAGATACTTCAGGTTATGACAGTACTGCTAGTGAACCTCTGAGCCACAAACTACCATGCTTGTCTCCAGAGAGTTTGTCTTTACCTTCCTTGGAACATATCCACAGGGCAGCAGACATTTGGTCCATGTGTCACTGGATCTATTTGTGTAGTTCAGTTTTCCAAAGACAGTTCCATAGGCTTGGTGGTTTTGAGGTATGCCATAGATTAATTGCCATGATAATCCAGAAACTTGCCATAAATAGAGCCATGGTGCAAGGAGAGCAGGAGAAATGTGCTGAGGCTTTTTTTGAAAAAAAATCAGATGAGTTTATATTGAGCAATGAGAGAGGCCAGTCAGATCATGATAGTCTTGATGAAAACCTTGGCAGCATAGAGCAAGAATGGCTTTCATGTGAACATTCAGCTGCAGAACAACCATCCGCTGATAGCACCGTGAAGTCAAAAAAAGCGAGAATCCAAGAAAATGAGTGGTCACCCCAGGGTATAAGACTTCTGGAAGCTCTTTTGGCAATTTGTTTACACAGTGCAAATAATTTCCAGCAGAAGACAGAAATGGAGTCCATTCCTGAGGTAATGTGCCATTACTCTGGTCACACCACTGTATTTACAACGTACGCTACAAGTTATTTTAGACATGGGAGCAGCAATGATGACTGATTTGCATGCTAAATGAATATGAGACCTATCTTCCTTTTGTGAGAAGCTGAAATTCTAATAAAATTTCTGAAATGTGATTAAAACATCTAGTGATAATTCCTCTGAAGAGGAAATTTTATATAAAACAAAATGTGAATCTTTGATGGACTTTCAGGCCAGGTTTTTGCTCCCATTGTGCTAGAGGGCTAGGTCAGGCCCAGAAATGTCAATATAACAATAACAGTGCATGTGTTTCTGGTTTTGACTGAGGAGTGGGTGATTAAAAAAAATTTTTTTGAACCATATTCAACCATATACTATATGCAGACTATACATGGATCATTCTGTTTCTCTTTAGTCATAATGGTGGTGACCTATACGATGGCTGAAATTGCTGACAACCATGTTCTAATGTGCAAGGCTTCTCCCTCCATCCGAGGGCTCCCGAAAGCTTCTGAGTGGCAAAAGGGATCCCTAGGGAGCCTTGCAACCTGAAAGTGGGGAGGGGAAGTTTTCAGTTCAATTCAATTCAAAATGTCCTTTTAGTTGCATGTCATAAACTTACACCATCAGAATTTCAGCCTATGAGTATAACGTGCAAGCTAGGCTATTGACAAATACACTTTATTCTTGCTTCCAGTAATTTTGAGGGAGCCAGGAGTGCAAGTCTGATTGCTTTTATTGTCACTTTTCAATAATCACAACAAATCCATAAGCATAATTATTTCTCCTTTAATATAGAATGTTTCTGTTGAAGATATATTACTTGAAATGCGAGATCAACTTGCAAAATCTAGAATAATGGAAACTGATTTGGTGAAGCCTTTATTTGATTCTTTACTCCGAGTTGCCTTGGGAACCTATTTTGCTGATCTGGATCATCCTGAAGAAAAAAAAGAAAAGGTATAAGCCAGAAATCTATTATTCATATTTCTTGCTTTCTTGTCTGAAGGTTGTGTGATCATTAGGCTGGTATTATGTCATGAAAACTATCAAAATTGCAAGACCACCCCCAGTTGAATAAGCACAGTATATTTTAGCTTCAGATTTTTAATGTATTAGCTGGATTCCAGTTCGCTTGAATAATATAGCAATAAGTTTAGGGTCCTGCTGTCTTTGTCCTTTTTGCATTTGTGGGGCACTTCTACATTATATGCAAGAGTTACGTAGCAGTAGAAGTAATATGATTATACAAGATCTGGAAAAAATATTGAAGTAAGTGTGGAAAATCAGTTATGTTATATATAGCAGATTGGTCTATCTTTGCAGATGACCAAATAATGTATTAAGCCCAGAATTTTTTGTAAATGCTAACCTTGCCTTTTAGTTAGTGTTCTTGAAAAATCTCAAATATATATGTAACAGATCCTTCAATCTGAAAAGGAGCTTGCACCTCAGCCTGGAGATATCTCTGAAGAAGCAGAAGACGCACAGTGCTGTAACTTTAATTTTTTTGCTGAAGAAGAAGACTATGATGCAGATAGTGAAAGCAATCCTGATGACAGTGAAAGCAAGGACGAAGGTATGTTGGAACCTTTTACCAACTGGAAGGTGCACGTCACATTTTCAAACACTGTTGCCATTTCAGTGGCTTTCATGCATGGGTGGAACTTGCTGGGCATAGTGGGCTTCCACTTTCATTTACCCCACCATCTGTATCCCAGGTCTCTGAAGGATGCTTTCTTTGGAAATGCAGTTCTTTCCTTGGTGCTTCATTACGTTCAGGTGCATACCTTGCTTATATCTGCACCCTTTTCCAGAGATGAGCTCACTAATCATTACCATTAGTGTGAATTCATAAAGACACAATGAAGAAAAGCAGGTTGCTTTTGTAATAGTTGATCTTCAAGAGGTTTCTGTGCATTCAGACTATCACTTTTCTCTCCTTTTCAATATAGTGTAAATATACAGATGAACGCTTGAAGACCAAATATTGCAAGAGACAATTTGTTTTTTATGGACAAGGTCAGATGATAGCTAATTAGTTGCTGGCTCTTTTGCTATTTTGTCATCTTCTAAGTCATGCTTGTGGTTTGCCTGTTTAAGCCAGAAACATAGGCCTTAAGTCTTAAGTACAGTACAGTGGTGCCTCGCTTGACGAGAATAATTCGTTCTGTTGAAATCGCTGTTAAGCGAAATCCTCGTCAAGCGAAATGAAAAAGCTCATTGAAATGCATTGAAAACCGGCTCAATGCGTTCCAATGGGCTAAATACCTCAGCGTCCAGCGAAGATCCTCCATAGGGGCGGCCATTTTCGGTGCCTGTAAAGCGAGGAATCTACCTAAAGCACAGCGGGGAGCCGCCGTTCAGCTGTTTTCGAATCATCGTCTAGCAAAAAATCGGTTCCCGAAGCAGCAACCAATCATCGTCAAGCAAAATTTCCCTATCTAAACATTGTTTTGCGATCGCAAAAACCTCATCGTAAAGCAGATTTGTCATTTAACAAGATAATTGTTAAGCGAGGCACCACTGTAGTTGCAGCAACAGCTGTGATCAGGAAATTCCATTATTATTATTTGTTTTAACCTGTTGTATACGCAGGGTATATACAGTACATATACGGTTTTGGTAACCCCCTCAGTGTCTGCTTAGTTAAAACAGCTTAGTTGTTCTTAAGCAGTAGATGTAAAAGTTTGGAGAGGTGGGGTTTTTTTTTTGGTTTTTTAAAAAAGATTACAGGTCCCAGAATTCATCAGCCAGCATGATCACAGAGGCCCACAAGATAGGTAGGTGGGTATCAATTAGCTGTCAAATATTTCAGCAGGCAATTATTTATTTTCTCTTCCAGGAACAGACATTAAGAGAGAAAAAGGAGGCTTTGGTTATTCCAGCTTTCCCAGTGATCTAGCTGAACATCTTATTCAAGGGGAATTAATATACCCTGAAATCTTCATGTTGGAATTGCATTTACTTTCTGCTGGCAGCCCAAGTCTGGATGTGCTTACTCATGTCTTCCAGAGTTTCTTGAAAGTGATAAGGATGAAGGGAAAAAATGCAACATTGCTTATACAGCAGGTAAATGAAGCCGTGGCTATGACTTAATGAGTCTTACTATTTATCTTGGTATTTGGTAGAGATACACATTGTACAATACCTTAAAAAACCTTTTCAGCAGTGTACAAGTCCTGCGGGCACAAATCCTGGTTTATCATTTTCTGAACAGCTTAGCCAATGTGAGTGGGAGTAATACCACTGCAGAGCTGAAAGCAACAGGAAGGAGAGCTCTGAAATGCCCTCTGTTCCAGCCATCTCCTTTGTGGAACTGCTTTCTTTTCCTTTAGAAGAGCCTTCTGCTGTCATTAGTCATTACATCATTTCTTGCTCCTCTCTCAGACCTATTTATATGCTTGTCAGTCTTATTCCATGAATCGAAAACAGTAATTCTTAATTGGCTTAGAAATGAGAGCTCTAGACTAAATGTAGGTATAACAGGTAAGCAAGAATCAACATACCCACTACTATCTGGAAGCAGAGGCACTGCATGAAATAGGGAAGCAGACACATAATTTCTCATCTGCAAGGAAAGGAACCTGCATGTACTTACTGAGCACAGGTGCATCTCTAAGTCATATTTCTATATACCAGCCAAAATCCTGTTGTGTAGCTATAGTTGCAAAATTCAGCATTATGCAAGCACTTGTGAAATTTGTAGCAAGGCTGAAGTCATATCTCGCAAACAGTTCTGCAGGTGTGTTGTGCAACTAGTTAAACAATTAGTTGCGTCATCAGGTACACAATGTAGATTACCTGAGCATAACTCCCTGCAAACTTTGACAGGTGTAACTTCATGCTGTGCCAGGTACAATAGGTTCTTCTTGGTGGCCACATTCTCCCAACACGGTGTGTGTTTTGTTACCTTACCTTTGTTCGGTATACATTATTTGGTTTTGGTTTTTTTAGGGAGTTGTGAAGAGCCTTTTGGGAGGATTCCTCCATATACTGACACAGACTGATTCCAGTTTTCATGGTGAGTTTCTGTTTTGCTTTGCTTTAAGTGGTATCTGATTTCTATGCTGTTGAACTCATTCCCAGGAGCTTTTAAGACATAAACAGATGCATCTATAGAACCACTATTCCAGATTTTTAAGGTAAGAAGTTTCTCTGTATAATGAATCCTTAATTTTGTTGGATTGTGCTCTAGCTTGACAAGAAATTATTTTTAACTTAATGGTTTTCTAGTGTTGTGCTTGTGAAGAGTTATGTAGTCTTTTAAACAAAAGATGTGTAGGTTATTCCAAGTCAACCAATCCTCTGTCCATATAGTTTTGTTAAGTGGATAACTGAAATATAATGATGTTTTTATGGCTGTAACACAGAAGACACGTTTGATGCGTTAAGAGAAATTGCACCCCACACACATGCACATAGAACTTGCATAGGCAATAAGATCATAGAGTCATAGAAAGTCATAGAAAGTGAAGTTGGAAGGAGCCTATAAGCGAAGGCCATCAAGTCCAACCCCCTGCATCATAATAGTTCAGTCTTTTCTGCTCTTTGCAGCTCTTAGTATTTTCACATGTTGAAAGAGAAACTTATCCAAGAGGTAGGGAAAGAGAGGAGAAGCTTAGTAGACTACTCCTTGGATTACAGTAGCCATTAAATTGTGCTCTATTTTAATAGCTTTGGCAGACTCTGGAATAATGTGTGATTTTTCTTTTTCAAACATTATTAAACAAAGAGAGAGAGAGAACAATATAGATTTCTGTAACAATCCATAACAAGTGGAAAGGTATTTTCAATTTCTTACTTTCTCATCCCAATATATAATACTGCCCATTGCCCAGAAAAGTTATGCTCTGCTAAAATGTTAATTTAATCAACAAGGGGATGCTCTAGGTATGATTAAATCAGTCATTTATAGAAGAGGCTGTTTTTCTTTCCAGTTTGTTTTTATAGCTATCTTAGCAGCAACAAATAGACTTGAGACCAGTTTGATATCTGATTCATTAAAAAGTACTAACAAAACCCAACAAAATTGTAGTTGTAGAACAGGTAGTCATGTTAGTCTGTGCAATCATCATAGGTGAAACCAATGTAAAAGTAAAAAACAAAAAAAATGTGGTGGCACCTTAAAGACTAACTTTTATATTTTTTAATGTGAGCTTTCATGGACAAGTCCACTTCACCCCAACAAAATTGTGATCCAATGGTATATTACTACTTAAAATATCATTGGTAAACTCAACCACAAAATGCTCAAAATTTCTATTTTCAAACAGAATTATATATCCGGCATTTATTCACTAATATTTTAAATATATAATTGCTTATTTATGAAATTTATGGTAACATTAAAAGAATATTTTGCAAAACGTCTCTCATGAACTAATTGAAATGAATTTTGAATTAACATTCTCCCAAATACATTTGTGTTAAACTCATATTCACTTAGAAATCCTTTTCCCATTATCATGCATTATCAGAGCAATATCCAGATCTGATAACAGTGAATAAATCTGCCCATTACTCTCTCAGAGATAAAAATTCTGAGTTGTTACTGATTCAAACATGGTGTTTGATCTCAACTCTTAACAAAGCAGTTGCTAGGATACTTATAGGAAATTAACCTGCGATTGCAGGGGCTGATATGCTTCCAGCATTTTTGTAATTTTCTTTTCATTTAAGACCTGCTGGTGATTGATTAATTTTTCCAATATCTCCAATACCCTTTGTGAGATAATTTAAAAATAAACCATGATACTGCTTTTCAGCTTGCCAGGAGGTATTGGTGGATCTTCTGGTATCTCTGATGAGCTCAAGAACATGTTCAGAAGAGCTAACTCTTCTCCTAAGGATTTTTTTGGAGAAAACACCATCAATGGTAAGTTTTTCATAAGAGGAAAATACTTTGATGCTAATTGCTGATGCTGATTTTGCTCTTCTTAAAGCAAATTGCTCTTATTAAAGCAAATGGCTGCTATTATTTTGGTATTATGAAAGAAGTTTCAGAATGAAGTAGTATGCTACTCCTCTAACCTGACTTCAAAAAAATGTGGCCCTCCAGACATTTAGGATATAAACTCCCATAATCCCAGAATATTAGCTGGGGCTTTGGGAGCTAGTAGTTAAAATATCTGGAGGAACAGTGGTTCCCTATCCATTCTCTTACCAGTGGTGTCACTACAGTTCTCGTAGGTTTCATAATATGCCATTTCTCTTTCTTGAATATGAGAGGGCAAGATGATAAAATCGCTGTCTGGAAGAACATTGTTACAAAACAAATGTGTCTCATCTTATTCATGCTATTGGTGCCTCCATCTCAGCTGGATGTAATTCCAGGTTAACTAGTTGTACAAGCAGCATTTTCAGATGTTAGCCATGATTAATGGAGTTCTTGTTCATATTCACAGAGGTTGCACCAGCTTTTCTGTTCCAGGTGAAGCTCCTTGGAGTGCTGGATAATGGTCAGAAGTGACCAAGAGAGGAGAGAGAAAAATGGCGAGGGAAAGGACACTAGAAAACCCTTGCCCATGTGTGAAAAGCCCCAGGGAATCCTCATGGCATGTGGCTGATTTTTTCAGGGCCACAGCAGTATCCCTGGCACAACATTTCAAGGGTTAGGAGGAGCTGCCGAGCAGACAGAGTGGCTGGGAAAGCCCTTCCCTCTCATGTTTTTATGGAGTTCCCTTTGTGGGTTTGCTTGTTTCTGTTGTTTTGGACAAAATAAGACACACTAGGGCTTATTTTCAGGGGATGTTTTATTTTTTTCATGTACAACAATCTACATTTATTCAAATACAGTCATGTCATCTTCTTCTGGTTGCTGCACAATGGTGGAGGGTGTGGTTTCACTTAACTGGGCCTTATTTTTGGGGTAGGGCTTATATTATGAGCATCCTGAAAAATCTATCAGGGGTTATTTTTAGGTTAGGTCTTATTTTTGGGGAAACAGTGTATTTTGTAGAGAATATGACAGTCTTGCTCCAGCATGTATGATAAGCAACATTCTGACAAAGTGAAAAATTTACGAAGAAACTGTAGCCCCACTAAAAAAAGTCTGAAGGAATCGTACGATCTGTTTTAGGGTATACTACAGCTTTCAAGTATGTGGATAGAATAAATAAGAGGACTTAAATATAGGAAGATGAACGTAAGCATGGAAAAGATCATCATATTATAAGAGAAGCTTAGTATTGGAATAAACAGCTGCAAGGAGGAAAGCTATTCTTTGTGTGCTTTCAAGAGGCAATTATATTCCCATCTGTTCAGAATACTCTTGATATTGGATAATCCTATCTTTCAGGGGCAGGTTGAGCTAGATGATTCATTGAACATCTTACAATATTAGTCTTCACAGAGTACCAACTCTTTCATGGTATTATGACAGCACAGAAAAACAATATTGTAATTTATTTTATGTAAATGGTAGTTAATATAAATTATAACAAAAATCTAAAAACAGAACCTGTACCTAACAATGATTCTTGAGGTTTGTAGTGTTCAATTAAAATATTTCAGCCTTAGTAAGAAATGCTGCTCAACTTGGTCATATTTGTGTTCACAAGTCATGCTAAGTGATAAATTAGCCTTGTGGTTTAGTATTGTTTGCATGAGCTGCTGCAGGTCTGCAAGCCTTGGGGTGCTAGTCTCCTGTCTTATGTGACCAGGAGAAGGAATGAACTATGACTTAAGACACATTTTTGTGTCCCTTTTGGAGTGGGCTGGTGTGGGCTAAATATGTTCTCTTGTGGTCCAATAGAGGTGCAGTATACCACATTTGGTGCGATCCATGCATCCAAATAGGGATGTGGTGGCGCTGTGGGCTAAACCGCAGAAGCCTGTGGTGCAGGGTCAGAAGACCAGCAGTCGTAAGATCGAATCCACGCGACGGAGTGAGCTCCCATTGCTTTGTCCCAGCTCCTCACCAACTTAGCAGTTCGAAAGCATGCAAATGTGAGTAGATAAATAGGTACCACTTTTGTGGGACGGCGTTCCCTCGTCACGCTGGCCACGTGGCAACGGAAACTGTCTTCGGACAAGCGCTGGCTCTATGGCTTGAAAATGGGATGAACACCGCCCCCTAGAGTTGGACACGACTGGACTAAAAATGTCAAGGGGAACCTTTACCTTTACCTATGCATCCAAATGGCATGTTGGAGCTCAAGCCGCCCTATTTGATCTGTTCCCTTCTGACGTTGTGAAGTGGCTTAATAAGAAATCCACTTCAGGATATTGGCAAATTGAACACTTCCTCTGTTCATCAGTGGCGAGCTACAGGAGTGAAAAAATGTCTAAAAGACTAATACACCATCTCTAATGTGCTACATCACTTTAAAAATATATATTTGGCTTCTCTGAATGGCCAGTCATGAAACTGCCTACAGTTGAATCCGTTAATCCAGTTTTAAATAGTTTCTTCACTTTAGGAGAAACCAAAGAAAATACTGTGGGTTTCCTCCCCTTTTTAAAAAAAGTGTTGTGGCACATCAGTAATGATCTATTACAGTCTTTTTAAAAGTTTCAGTTCCTCTGCCCTCCACAGAGAAGCAGAGGAAGTGTTCAGTTTGCCACTATCCTAAAGTGGCTTGCTTATTAAGCTGCTTCATGATATCAGAAATTCAAATGAGAAGAAGCTTGACAGCTGGGAATGCTCACTTTTGGTATGTTCACACATGCTGGAAATTGGCCAAACCAGAGTAAGCTTATCCACTCCCAAAAAGTGGAACCTCTGACAGGGGTTTCAGAAGGTGTTAGGACTACTCTGAGTTCAGTTTGGATCACGTCAGCAATTACATCATGTGATCACTGAGGAAAAAAAGCAAACCAAACAGCGGACCAAACAGCAAGATAAATACCCATCTGATTGAGCCCTCAGTTTTCTTCTCTTTGCTTATTAGATACAGAGCAGGCATTGTGATTTAAGAACAATTCTTGCTAGCTGCTGAGGACAGCAGCAGCAAACCCTGAATTACCTTGTTTAACAAGCTAAACTTTCTTTTGAACCATGTCTCCTTGTTCATACATTATGATTGCCTAAGACTGTGATCAGGGAAAATTAAACTGGATCAGAGTGCATTTGTCTTTGTATTTGCATGAGCTTTGAGCTTGCTAAGATTTGCATACATTATGTTAACCCTAGCTTTGAATTACGTGTGAAACAGGGCATTGTATATGATGATAGAATATCTGTACATTTGGTATGCAAAAATAATTAGGGTTTGCATCGGTTTCTTTAAAAATTAACAAATGGAAACTTTTAAAAGTTCTTCCATTTTGGGATGTTTGTTGCAATGGCGATCTTATTTTGTTTGTTTCTCTTAGAGCACACTGCTTAAAGGAATTCTGAAGATTTTGGAGGCGAATACTGAAATGAGACCTTTACAACATATCTCATTTCCTTTGCACCATACACTCTGTTTAGGAAGCAGCCCTACCCAAAAATCCACCCTCCCTTTCAACAGCAAGACAACAGGACTGCCAAGACGATCAAAGTTTGGCCAAACAAAGAAAGAACCGGACAGTGAGAGTCTGCCTCACCGCCTTCTTTCTTCTTGGCACATTGCTCCCATCCATTTGCCTTTAGTTGGTCAAAACTGTTGGCCACATATGTCTGAAGGCTTCAGCATCTCCCTTTGGTTTTGTGTGGAATGTGTTCCTGAAGTAGACAGTTCTCTGGAGAAAGTGAAAAGAATGAAAAGGCAGAGCAAATCACTAATGTCACGTGACAGCAGTTTTGATGATACAGGTAAGTCATAGTGTTGATCTTTAATATGGTGGCTGAAATACTTTTGTACATCACTGCATATGCAACAGGAATGGTGTTATTAACAGTGACAAATCAGTGATTAAAAATTTCCTTTAGTGGTTTTGGGATACAAAAGGGAGCCCTAGGAAGCCTTGAAATCTGAAAGTGGGGGGTGATGGGCAGGGAGAGATAGGAATCTTTCAGTTTGTTTAAATTAATTATTTCAGGTGCCTGGATCCAGTTTATGCCAGCATAACTATGCTGACAGTATTTTACTCAGAGTAAAGGTTTGTGTTTCAATACACACATAATTTAACAAACATTCTGTATTTTAGAAGAAAGCAAACTTGGAGTTGATTACCTCAGTCTGGGTGACAAACTTCTTGAAGATGGATGTCTTCATATATTTTCATTGGGCTCCAAAGCATTGATGATTCAAGTATGGACAAATGTCAACACTGGAGCTTTCATATTTCGGTACTGTAGACTTGTTTTATAAACAGAATAATGCCTTTGATCAGATTGCGTATTTCTTCTTTTGACCCCAAAGTGGATTTGCTGTATTGCTCTGTGCAAATATCAAGTTGTAGTGATCTGTATTTACAGTATATGCACTAAAATTAGTCAGGTTTTGTTGTGCTGAGGCTCAAAGAATGGGAAATATAAACTATGTAAAAGGCTATCTTCCACTGAATCAGTTCAACTAATAGCAGAATTCTAACATTTGTATGTCACAGATCCCTTTTAAATAAGAGATTTGTATAATACAGTGGTGCCTCGCATAACGAGCGCACCATTTAACGATGAATCTGCATAGCGATGCGGATTTTGCGATTGCTAATGCAATCGCATACCGATGTTTTATCGCATTGCGATGGGGGAACAGCTGTTCGGCGGTTCCAAAATGGCCGCCGGAACACCCAAAATGGCCGCCGGAACATGGGGAAACATCGCAGAATGGTGAGTTTTGGGCCCATTTGGAATGGGCTTTTCCGTTCCGTTTAGCGATGTTTCCCCATAGCAAAAGTTAATCCGGAATGGATTAACCTTGCTATGCAGGGCACCACTGTAAATTTATGAAGCTTCTTCTGATACATTTTTATAAAGATGTGGTCATAATAAACTTGCTGAAAAATAATACTCTGACAAAAGAGAAAGCAGTGGCTGTAAATAGTTTTGCATATCCATACAAAAGTAGCATTAAAAGGTGTTTTTTGGAGGGGACTATCCCCAAGTTCCTATTCTTAAAAGTAAACTGGAACAACATTTACTATAGCCCTAATATCATATTACACAACTAATGGTGGTGGTGGGCTATAGAAATGAGTAAAGCACAGTTTTTAAGACAATTGAGATATGTGCTAGAGAAAGATAAGTTACAGAGTGGAAAGAGCTGAATGAAAATTAAGTTCAGTGTTGCACAAAGAAGCTTAGAATGGGTTTACTCTACAAGTTTAATCGTGATTACTTCCACTGTATAGTATGGGATCTCTACAATTAAACATGCAGTTTTATAAATGTGTTGAATTAAGAATGACAAGTTCATAGGAACCCAACATTTGTATAGGAATTCTGTGTTTGGCTTTAGATCACTGGAGAATCATGGAATGATAAAACAACAACAGCAACAGTTGCTTATATTTTTTGTTAAAACTTGTATCTTCAAGTCCATCCTGTCAAGGAGGCACAGTGTGGAATTGAACTCCCAACCTCTGGCTCCACAGCCAGATACTTAAACCAAATGAACAAAAGCAGTACAGTATTTCAGAGTTGGGCTGTATATATGATTTGAAAGTAAGCTAGGTTGGGAGCATCTCAGTCATTTGCCACTTGACTGTTTTCACAGCATGTGTATGGATCCAAATGATGAAATGAAGGCTGGTCTACTAGCACAAGCGGAAACAACAGAGAACACTTTCTCCATAGGCAAGTGGCAGCATTTGGCATTAACATACCAGCAGCAGCCAGAAAGCAAGAAAAATATCCATGGAACACTTACATTGTGGATTTCTGGTCAGAGGTAATGTCTGAAAATTAAATAAATATACTAAAAATATAGTGTAAGGATGCTTTGTGTTCATGTGGTGGCTATTGGTAGCAGCTGTGGCATTTAGTACAGACAAAGGATTCAGGTGTATGTAAAGTACTACAGTACACACTTTACTTGACAGCCAGGATATTGTTTTGCTAACATTTGGTAATCAGCTGCTTTGTGCTAGTGCATCACTGGAGCAGCTTACTACATCTCCATCTATTGACTCTCCCTAAGACATAGAGCTAATTGCAGAGCATTTCAGTTTTACTTTGACATCCTTTTTATGCAACTTTCAATTATGTTAATAAATGTGATTTTTTTTATGCTCTTAATTACAGTGGTGCCTCGCTTAACAATGTTAATTGGTTAAAAAAAACATCGCTATGGGAAAACATCGTTAAGCGAAATGCATTTTCCCATAGAGATGCATTGAAAACCGGTTAATCCGTTCCAATAGGCACGGATTGCCATCCTTAAGCGAAAAAACCCATAGGAAACATCGTTAAGCGATACAATGTTTCCTCCATTGGAATGCATTGAAGCCTATTGGATGCAAATCTTCACTTGTCTCTTCTTGGCCAGCCGGGACAAGGAATTGCATCAACATTCTTCTTCTGCAGTGAACAATGAATAATTTTCCTGAGTCTGTCAATAAAGTTCTTGCATCAGGAAGAAAAGTCAATTTTTGCAAATTTAAGTGTGTCTTAAAAGGTTCAAAAACTGTTTTAAATGCTTGGAATCGTTAGTGCACCTTCTAAAACGGGTGCAAACTTAATTTGGCTTCGATCTGACTTTTCATTGTCAAAAGTTGGGCTCCATTGTTTCCTATGGGGGAGGAAAAAATTCACAAAAAATTAACGAAAAGTCAGCAACTGTTGTAAATGCTTGGGTTCGTTAGAGCACCTTCTGAATCGTGTGCAAACTTAGTTTGGCTTTGTTCTGAGTCTTCGATAATTTTTTGTGAATTTTTTTTCTCCCCCATAGGAAACAATGGAGCCCAACTTTTGACAGCTCCATTGTTTCCTATGGGGGAGAAAAAATGCACCAAAAATTAACGAAAAGTCAGATCAAAGCCAAATTAAGTTTGCACACGTTTTAGAAGATGCACTAATGATTCCAAGCATTTAAAACATTTTTGAACATTTTAAGACACTTTTAAAATTGAAAAAACGTTAAGCGAAACAGGGGACCTAAAAATGCATTTGCTATGTGAAGCATGGTCCTGAAATCGCTAAGCGAAAATCGCCCATAGGAAACATCGTTAAATGATGCATAGAATTCTTTTAAAAAACCATCGTTAAGCGAAAACATCGCTAAACGAGGCAATCGTTAAGCGAGGCACCACTGTATTTTCAAAATGAAGTTATTTGGAATGTATTATTAAGATCAAGGGTTTGTTTGTTTTTTGCCTTAGAAGATCTGATATTAATTTAGATTATACACTCCCAAGAAAAACAAGCTTATCATCTGACAGCAATAAGACCTTCTGTATGATTGGCCATTGTACATCATCCCATGATGAATTACTGCAGTTAGCTGGGAGATGGGACCTGGGAAATCTGCTTCTTTTCAATGGTATGTTGTATTCTCCTTTCCCCAGAGGAATAACTTTTATTTAACATGTTTCTTTTAAAACTTAAATATAGTATGTGAAAGAAAATTACTTGGTTGCAGAAATTCATAAAACATTATTGCTTTAAAATCATGTTTCTACTCATTTACAGTACTATTATGTTTGACAAAATATAGGGCTACTCAACTCTGAGAAAGTTTCCCCCTTGATCCAGTCCCTTCTGATATGATCATTCATGGTATTATTTCAAATCACCTTGCAGAATGCACTGAAGGGGAATGATTTTGAGTTAATCTTTGTCCTTCCTGGACCAGAAAGATAGTCGTGGATTTTGCTGTTCAACAGTTTGACCATTGTATTTTACCTACAATGTCTGCAGGGTTTTGCTTTATCTCCCAAACCTGAAAATACTCACACAGTTAGTCTTTCACTGTTCCTTTGTATCCAAATGATGATTATAGTTTAGACTGCTTTGTGCACTAGATGTACCTTTACTCAGACAATGCGAGTCTCACACTGAGGTCATACATTTAGTTTGGACTGATGTAATGCGCATTTCAAGGAGCTCTATGAAGAGTGTGTAGAAACTTCAGATGATGTAGAATACAGCTACTAGAATGTAGACCCTTGTTTTTGGTACCATGTGACTTCCTTGTTGCAACAGCTTTGAGATTTCCAGTTGGTTTCTCGTCTCTGTTCAAAATACTGATAACTATCTTTAAAGTTCTAAATAATTCAGGGCCAGGATGCCTAAAGGATTGTGTACTCTGTGAACCTGCTTATGTACAGAGATCAGTTGAAAAGCCTTTCTTCCATGTTCCAGTTTCAGAAAACAGATGACCACCATAGGCACAGAGTGGCCTTTTAGGCCAGATGAGCGGGGTATAAATCAAATAAATAAATAAATTTCTAAAAAAACCAAAACAAATTAATTTGGTAAGTGCAGAGATGCTAGGGGGACACATTTGGGTTGCTGGGGGAGGGAGTGCTTGTTGCCTATTCCTGTTGTGCTATACTGAAGTAAACTTTGATTGCACTATAGGTGTGCTGCATATCTGTCTTAGTGCAATAATTTCAAATTCAAATCTAATTTCATGGCAACAGTGCAACATATTAGACCTTAGCTTTCACATTTCATCCAGCTCTTGTGATAATGAATATTGCATGCTATTGAATTTTCTGTGGCCTACATCCATGAGTAACTGACATGTGAGTTAATTTCTTGAATGCGTACCTGGAAATCATTCATATGAGCAAGATGAAAACCAGCTCCTGTTGATCTGAGATAGCAACCATTTGAATGTTTAACAGTGTGGCACTCCCCCATTGAATGAAAATATTGGGCAGCTGTGAGGTAAGCATTATTTACTGTACATGAAGCACCACATATTAAAACACGGTATGTTTTTTTCTTAGGTGCAAAAATTGGACCAGAAGAAGCATTTTATCTCTATGCTTGTGGACCGGACTTCACCTCTGTCATGCCTTGTAAATATGGCAGATCAATAACAGATTATTCCAAATACATAGATAAAGAGATTCTGCAATGTGAACAGATTAGAGAAATGTTAATGACAAAGAAAGAAGTGGACACTGGACCTTTAATTGTAAGTTTGTATTCCTAGTGCTCACTATGTTTCAATATATACTGTAGTATTTAAGTGAAGCCCTCTTTGTTCTGAAACTGAACTGAATAAAATACAGTATGTAAATAGCAGATAGTTTCTGTCCTCAATTCTGGCTTAAGTTTGATTTTCTGTGTCACGTTTGACTACAGTGAGATAGCATAAAAATGAATAAGGTTGAACCATCATTTTAGAGCACATGACAGAGTGAATCTGTGAAATATAGTAGAAGAGTGTAGTGGTAAGAATTTTCTGTGAAAATTCTGTCATGATACAGACCAGCAGAATATGAATAGACAAAGCAGAATGTTAAAATTAAGAAAAGTAAGATGGCTTAAATAAAGAAACGGCATAATTGGGCTAATCAATTGTGGTTTCAGTCACACAAAAATAATGGCTGTTTCTTATGAGACATACTTTAACAATATTCTAACAGCTTTTGACAATTTCTTTTTAAGGGTTACTTTTCTTGTATTTGTATTGAAGATTTAAAAGCATACATGCATGAGCTGTTTTTGTACTCCCATCCTTGACTTTCACTAAAGAAAGCACTGGTCCAGGAGGATGCTGTTAATATTTGCTGTTCAACTAGTTAATACAACTGTACTAGCCTTGCCCACCACTATGTCATCTGTTGACTGTTACTGTTTTTCAGTTTATTGTTTATTAGTAAAATGAAATGGGGGATTAAAAAACAGATTTGCATGTGTTGCACGTTCAAAGCTGTGGATTAGTTTTATGTTGGATGCATTATTGTGCACAGGCAACTTGTGTGCTCTGTGCTGGTTTGTGCCACGTGAACTGTTCCATATTGGCTGCACACTGATGCCAAACCCAACTGATGTGTTCCAGAATGGACTTCCCTGTTGCGACCACATTGTATTAAAATTAGGGTTTCGGTCGTCCCATGCTAATCCCCTGATTTAAGTCATAAAGCTTCATTTGGATATTTACTTCCATTTTGAACTTACTATAGCTACAAGTAAAAACATCTGAAGACCAACAAAAGGAGTGAGAGGATATGTTAAAATGAAATAATCGTAAAAACATCTGAAGACCAACAAAAGGAGAGGATATGTTAAAATGAAATAATTTAAATATAAGCACCTAAGAGCTGTTCCTCATGTATTCAGATTTCTTTTGTCTCTTTTGTGAGCTTGTATTTTCCCTAAGTTCATCTTCTGAGTATTGTTTCTCTACCACTGAATAAAGCTGTTACATAATAGTTGCAATGTATACACAGCACATTTCCACAAATGTTATTAAAAGTCTAGAAATGAACTGTAACACTGCCTACCCCAGTAAAAGCTTAAAAGTTTAGATTGAATGTAAGCGGTAAGCTCATCAAATGTTCCCTTATGTATTTCAGGAAAGCCTTGCTGCTGTTTATGCCACTTGCTGTCCTGCTCAATACACAATCTATGAGCCAGTAATCAGACTCAAAGGTCAAGTGAAAACTGTTCCTTCTCAACGACCTTTCAGTTCAAAAGAAGTACAAAGCAATTTACCAGATCCTCATTACCTGAAAGTGCTACAGCCTTTAGAATATAAAGGTCTTCAGGGCATACTGCATGAGATTGGTGGAACTGGATCATTTGTCTTCCTATTTGCCAGGGTAAGAGGTTGAGAAAATTGCTTTGTGTATTAACACATTTGTTACGACAGACAGACCTTCGGTGTATTTTTGTTGCCTGGATATGGGAAGGCATTATAACAAAGGAAACATCCGTAACAATAGAGATTGCTTCCAGATACTTCCTAGCACAACTAATCATTGCTTTTGTGATGTAAGTGGAATTGTAGTTGAGTTTCCATATTATAGGATTTTTTTTTCTGTGTGTACATTTTACTGCAATTTGTCCACACTAGTAGATGTGACAGGATTGCTCCGATTGGGGGAAGTGGGGTTCACTTCTCTGGAGTGGCCATTTGAAATGTAAATTCTGATAGATCCTCTTAAAAAGCAATCACACACTTATTTGTTTAAACCTATTATCCCTTCCTACCCATCATGAAATACCGAAAAACAAAGCATCTGGCATTTGCTTTGGATTGGAAGTGTTTGAGGTAAGAAAGATGATGAAGACCCTTTTTTTCAGTGGTGGCCAAGAGTGCATTTGCAGAGTTAAAGCTGGTGCATCAGCTGTGCCCATTCCTTGAGATGTCTAGTCTGGCCATGGTTACACATGCCATGGTTACACACAAGAACAACAACAACAACAACAACAACAATAAAGATTGCAGTTGGATTCTGTCAAATATATTTGAATCTTATTGGCTTATTTTTAGGTAGTAGAGATCAGCAACTGTGAAGAAACTCAAGCTTTAGAACAACAACAACAACAACAATAATAAAGATTGCAGTTGGGTTCTGTCAAATATATTTGAATCTTATTGGCTTATTTTTAGGTAGTAGAGATCAGCAACTGTGAAGAAACTCAAGCTTTAGCTCTAAAAGTTATCCTTGCCTTAACAAAACACAATCAACAGAGAATACATGAACTAGAAAATTGCCACAGCTATTCGATGATTCATCAGGTGTTGATAAAGCCCAAGTGTATTGTTGGATTTCACATACTGCAGGTAAGGTGCTCTGCTTTCCACTGATTACGATAACTATTCTTGTTTTTAGAAGCCATATTGATTGCCTGTTTTCACCTTCTCAGTGCTTCGGGCAGGTAGCAGTTTAAAACACAAATATATATCATAATCTATTGAATCAGCTCATGTCAAGTAAAAACATGACTGCTTAAGAATTCAAAATTATTTTGAGCTGTAATACTTATAGATGAATATAAGCTTGTTTTGTTCTTCTCCCTTGCCTTTTAGATAACATTTTAAGAAATATTTGTACATGCACATCCCAAGCAATTTTTCCAGTTGTAATGTTCATTTCACTCCTTTATCAATAGGTGTCTTATATATATATATATATTTTAATTCTCTATTCAATCGTTCTCAAATTCTGGTCTATGGTTGTTGTTGGGTTTGAACTCCTATAATACCCATTCAGTATGGCAAATAGTCAGGAATCTTAGGAATTGAAGTCTTTCCACATCTGAAGACCCCTTTTGGGGAGCCCATGTTCAGTGGTTTCCAATCTTGGATAACCCAGGTGTTCTTGGACTGCAGTTCCCAGAAGCCTTCACTCCAGCTGTTCTGGGTGGGGCTTCTAAGAATTGCAGTCCAAGAACAGCTGGGTTACCCAAGATTGGGAACCACTGTTCTAGTTAATCAGTGATCAATGAAGCTACAGATAATTTAGTAGAACTGTCATTATTGCAGAGTAGGAAGACACCACCGCAAAAACTTCAAGCTGTGATTTTCTTTCAGGAATTATAGAAATTAAGACGTGGCTGTTAAATTGTGGATTCATAACTCCAAGTCATAAATCGGCATGCCTTTATTTAGCATTCCCGGCCAACAAGATAAGGCAGAAAGAAACTTTGTAAAAAAAAACACACACATTTAAAATGTGCAAAAGCTGTTTCCACTCCTACACTCACTACATAACTTTTAGGTTTCAGTGTTTTGTGATATTGAAAGAGCAATGTTAGGATAATATGTACCCCAGGTGACTTTGATAACAAGAGGAGTCACTGTCCCCTATTCCATATCTCCTCAGTTAACCAAAATGATGCAAATCTGGATCCCTAGTTCATCCTTTGAGAACTCAAGTACAGGCATACAGGGATAATATTTGAGTGGAATTTATTTAGATTGTCAAGAAGGAAAACAAAAAAGAAATCAAGATAAAGCAGTCACAAATCACACTCATGAGCATGAGATATCAAAGAGAAAAGAAGGTGGGGCTGGCCTGGGTTCCTTAACTTTGAGAATAAAACAACCCAACGTAGGGACAACTAAAAGGATACCCCAGGGTCCAATTATATCCAATTATAAATGAATTCAGCTCCTTACTGCAGGTCCTTCATTACGTTAATTATCTATATGACTGTTGTGGGTTTTTCGGGCTCTTTGGCCGTGTTCTGAAGGTTGTTCTTCCTAATGTTTCGCCAGTCTTTGTGGCTGGCATCTTCAGAGGACAGCGCTCTGCTTTAGAGCAAAAACTCTAACGTGCTGCTTATGAATGTGGCAAACTATAACCAAAGTGTCCAAATCTGCTGGAGCTTTCCTGCCTTGGCAAGAGTTTTTATCACTGGTGTAACTTGGTGTATATGCTGGATGTGAAAGACATTTTTGTTGTTATTTTCAACACTAATGTGTTTAATATCGTTTTAAAGACTCTCCTTGCAGGATGTTGCAGTGAGAAGATGGTTCATCTGACTGAGAATGGGCAAGTTGTCCTTGATGTAGAGTCCAGAGCCATAATCCAAGATGTTAAATTGTTGGAAGAGTTGCTACTTGATTGGAAGATATGGTCCAAATCCCAGGTGATTTGCACACATCAGAAAATTATTATTAATGGTCATTAAATGTTTCTCCATTACATCTAGAAATGTTTGGCTACTTTACAGATTAAAAAGCTATTAAAATGAATATTTTTAAAGTAATAATGTTAAATGTGTATTAGTTATTCCCCTTTTCTTTTATGATTTTTCAGTAAACCCTTAGAACAGGTTGGAGATGTCTCTGGTAACATAGGTCATGCTAAAATTGATTTAAAATTTAGTTAGAAGATTTGGTTAGAAGGATAATTATAATCTCATGTTTTCTGTTGTGTGAAATATGAGCCATCCATACATATGTGACCATAGGATACTTTCCCTTACCATTACTAAGAATGAAAGAATCTTGTTTTGGAGCATTTGGGATGTGCTGCTACATACTATGCTTACATCATTAATCAGTATTGTCAATACAACAATTATGGTGGCCTGCTTCTTACTTGTTTGTGATTTTTGTGTGTGTTAAGCCTGTTGCTATTTCTGTTTTGTAGCAAGGTGTTTGGGAAATGCTCTTATCAGCTCTGGAAATACTTATCCAAGATAATCATTGGCAGCAGATGTTTAACATTAAGCAACTTCTCAAAGCTCGGATTGTGCATCATTTCCTACGGATGTGTCAGGTTCTGCAGGTACTACATTAAAAGTTTAGCTTTGATGGTAGTGGATGCTAATCTTTTGTAACACTGAATGTGTACATTATGTATCACTCATGTAAGCCACCCCGAGTAGACTTTGTCTAGGGGGGCGGGGTAAAAGTCCAATAAAAGTAAAGTAAAAGTGAAGTTTCCAACCACTGCTCAATGCAGGAATCCAAATCAAAATATAATGTTTCACATATTTTGTTCATTTCTCTAGATGTCATGCTCACAAACTTCTTTGAGCCCTGAGTATAAAGGTACAATGGTGCCTTGCAAGACGAATTTAATTCATTCTGCGGTTAATGTTGTCTTGTGAAAAATTCGTCTTGCAAAACGTTTTCCCATAGGAATGCATTGAAATCCAATTAATGTGTTCCTATGGGCAAAAAAAGTCAGAACAAAGTCAAATTTGGTTTACAAAAGGTTTATTAAGTGCTCTTTAAGCCATATACAGTATATTGTGCAGATGATTTTAAAAATTTCAATCGAAGAACTTTAACTTTTTAAACATCATAAAAAAACATTTAAAAATCAGCAAACATGAGACAGGATCAAAAAACTGAAGATATTCATCTTGCGAAGCACGGCCATAGGAACATTTGTCTTGCGAGTCATCCACGCCCACCCATCCACCATTGCCAAAACCATTTGTTTTTTGCCCTGCAAGGCATTTGTCTTGCGAGGCATCACTGTATTACAAACAGTGGTTATCCTGAACATAAAAATAATGAGAAGCTCTCAAAAAATGAAAGCCATTCTTTTCTTGATCTGTTGGTATAGCTTTCAATTTGACTGTCAAGAGACCATTGTACATCAATGGTAACACACCACAAAAATGTGTTACAGCAGTCTTCAGAGGGTTCTTCTTCGTGGTCTCTGAATGCACACTAAAGGGTTTAGTCTGCGCTTGTGCAGAGGTTTCCGGAATCTTCTAGAGCTTAAACATTGTTCGCTAGGACCGCCCCCACAGTACGCGTGATCCACCCATCCTGGCAAGTGCCTCAGTTCCCTTTGCTGCCGCTGAGGTTTATTCTCTCCAACGAGCTCTGTTCACTAGCGTGTTCAAAAGGGACTTCTGTGAGATCTTTCCTGTTCTACCTCCCTTGTCGCCCCTCCTCCATCCCTAGTCCCCCTTTTTATCCCTCTTTCTTGTTTTTTGCTAGTTTATGGCCTCCTCCGCACTGTTTAAATGGTGTACTTTGTGCCTTAGTAAAATCCCCTTTACTGATGGCCATGACACTTGTCTCTTTTGCCTTGGCAAATCCCATCAGCCAGCCTCTTGCTCCATTTGCAAGAAATTTACTAAACAAGCTCTTAAATTGAGACAGCAACATTTATGATCTTATTTGTGGAAAAGATCTCTTTGCCCTACTTTGGCTATGGGGCCCGCACAGCTGCCTCCAGCTCAACTACCATCTCCGGATGCTTCAGTGGCCTCCTCGGTTAAGTCTAAATCTAAAGCGAAACTGCCTTCCAAACCTAGGGCGGGTGGCTCAACCCCTAAGTTGACACTGGTACTGAAGTCTCCTTCGGTACTAGACCAGCCGTCAAAACCGAAGAAGCCCTAAGAAGTCATAACCTACTTTACAATCCTCTAAACATCAAAAGGATAAAGTGCCCTCTTCGGTCCCTATTCAGTACCAACAGACCATTTGTGTTGGCTTAGTCTCCATCGAGGGTGATGACTATCTTCCCCCGCCTTCTGGATAACTGCCATCTCTCTTACTGGCACAGTCCATTGGCTAATACTTCTCCTGAGGTTACTGTACTTCCTCCATATGACCACTTGAGCCCTTCGGGTTAATCCATCTCTGTTTGTCAGTCAGATTCAGAGTCGAACTTGCCTGTCTCTTTGATACCAAAACGGATGAGATTCTTGACAATCTCCAGTCTTCCCAACATTCCATATCTCCTCACTCAAAATCACAGCTTAACCTTTAACCCTGATCTTCACACACTCCACCTTACAGCATGGAGGATTCACCCACTGTAGCTGCTATTTTGGGAAGTGCGAGAAACCCTGCTAGCACCCAATTATACACATCAAGTTTGCGTCTCAATATCATCTCCCTATTGCACCTACAACGCTTCACTCTGTACTCCAGTTTCTTACTCACTTATTCAATAAACATCTCTATCTACACTCAAGGTCTATCTATCAGCCATAATAGCCCATCAACCACACAGTTTGGACTCCGCTACGCTTTTTCAGCATCCTACCATGAAACAGTTTCTTAAGGGGGTGTCCAACCTCAAACCTACGAGGACACTTCCTCCTCCACAATGGTCCTTGCACACCATCCTTCACCAGCTTACGCTGTCTCTATTTGAACCCCTTACCACGACTTCCGACCGTCTCTTGGCTCTCAAAACTCTTCCTGGTGGCCATTACCTCTGCTCGTAGAGCCTCAGAAATTGCTGCTCTCTGTGTAGATCCTCCATTTCTTCAATTTCACCCCAATAAAGACACCCTTTACCTGGATATCTCTTTCCTCCCTAAAGTTGTCTCCGAATTCCATCTTAAATAGCCTATTGTCTTACCTTCATTTTTTTCCATCACAAAGACTGACTAGAACGCTCTCTCCACCTCTTGGACATTCGTATAGCACTGGCTTTCTATGTTTCCAGCACTGCTTCTTTCCGCAAGTCTCAATGACTATTTCCCCGCACTTACCACATAGGGGGATCCCTTTTCTCTTCCAAGGCCTTATCTAAATGGATTGTGGCGACCATACGCCTTGCGTATCAGTTAGCCAAAAATCCTCTTCCTGTTGGAATTAAGGCTCATTCCACGAGAGCAATGGTTGCCTCTACGGCATTCCTTGAAGGTGTTTCTGTCCCTGACATCTGCCACATGGTCCACTCCGTCCACCTTTGCCACCCATTATTGTTTAGAACTCCGGGCAAAGCCTGACTCAGCATGGTGACAAGCGGCCTTATCAGCTGTTCTGTGACGTCCCTCATCGGAGCAGGTAAGCTTGTTAATCACCCATTAGTGTACATTCACAGAGACCATGAAAAAGAAAGAGAAGTTACTTACCGTAACTCTGCCTTTTCAAGTGGTCAACTGTGAATTCACGTATTCTGCCCATCCTCCCCTCTGTCCATCACGTCGCACAATTTTTACACAGAGCCAGACTTTGTGGGAACTGAGGCACTTGCCAGGTTGGGCGGACCATGTACACTGCGGGGGCAGCCCTTATGGTGAACCTCTCTTTTCTAATGTTTCTAGGCTATAGATCCTCATGTCTCACTGTGATCTGCTCAGTAGATGTTCATTAACTATATCTGAAATGTGTGTGAGAGGCTTGATCACAAAATTGCTCAGGGTTTTGTTGGAACAAGGAGGGAAAGAGTTTATGGTAGAGTTTATATCTGTAGCTTTGCAGCCCTGCACACTATGATGTCCATATTTTCAGCACATTGCCTTTATCACAGCATTCATTCTGAAATTCTTATGTTTCAGGTACCAGTCTAATTCCCTAGTCCTTCTATAAATCTAAGATTTTGAAGAGGCAGGGGGTCTAGGCCAATCTTCTGCCTTGCAAGAAATGTAAACACCCCACAGAACATTTTCCAGCCAAAGTTTAAAAATAGTAAATTATAGTTACAGTTATGCATGTTATTGTAACTTTTCCTTCTTCTTTAGAGATACCTGTATCCCAAGAGTGTGCATAGTCTGTAAAACTGGGGAAAGTTCATAAGATACAATGCCTTTTTCTGTGTACATTCTTGTACACGAACTAGTAACTATATAGGAATCTGTTTTTTCAGTTACATATCTCTGTGTTGAACCCCCCAGGAGCACAAAGACGAACATCTCACATCTATGCCTACAGAGGTTTGCACATCGTATGTGAAAATAATTGAAGAAGTGCTTGGATCTCCACCAGACCTGGAATTGCTGACACTGATTTTCAATTTCCTCTTAGCAGTTCACCCTGCTACAAATACATATGTTTGTCACAATCCTAGAGACTTCTACTTTTCCCTGCACATAGGTAGATTTTTTAAAAACAATCTGAACTAGGGAATGCTAATGTTCACTGCTACAGAAACAATAATTTGCCTTCTCATCTTTTCAACCCTCCATGTCCCTTCCCTGCCTGTTCTATTGGGTCCCTCAATCCTTTGGAGCAAATTTGTGAGCTGGGAAGGAGCAGTGCATTCCACTCCTATGGTAGCTGACATTTCACTGGGGAAGGACATCTAGTTGGATCCTAATGTAACTGTATAAAATCTTTGGTGCCAATGCCATTAATTTGCATACCACCCTAAGTGTATTTGTTACTACAAATCTTCCCGACTGTATCTCAAGCTTTGGTTTCATGACATTTGTTGTTCAGACCCTTATTTCTATCATCTTAATGTCAGAAAACTTCACAACCAGTTTAAAACAATGGATTTGAGAAGTATTGAGTAATTTTAAAGCCTGCAAAACATTTACAACTATGTATCCAGTTTTAGAACTGGTGCTAGAAAATGAGTTATTCAAGGATCCACCTGGCTCTGTAACCTTGGAAACCAGCTGTGGCATGAAATTTCATAAGCAAAGCTTTACTGCACCGAGAATCTTTCCTGCAAGCTTTTATGCTATTGTTGGTCATTTAGGACCATTCTATTAATGTGAAAATACACCAGGAAGAGTGGCTTTATCACTGTATCCATATAGGGAAGTAATAATGTACAAGCTAGCACTGCCATGAATTTTTTTGTTGCTTTTCTGCAAAAGAGTATTTTTGTTAGCTTTCATTTCATATGGATTGCCATTTGAAAGCTGAATGCCACATCAGGTTATATATTAGTCTTTCCATATGACTGCCTTCATTTTTACCTTAGCTCTGGGTATATTCCAGTGCATTCGATACAGAAACTTCTTTATTCATTCCAGTGGGAGAATTACAGACGTAGCTATATACTGCTTGCTGTAGGCAGAAAGTTGCATTTGTATTGCAATGAATGACAAATTTATAGATTTTTTAAAAATTAATTCTGACTGTTATGAATTGTGAATTTGGGATTCTTTCTGTTTTCTGATATAACTCCTCTTCTGCAGTTTAAGTAATTAATATTTATCCATAAGTACGTTTCTATGAACTGAATGGCTTACTGCCAAGGATTATTGCATAAAGCGTGTAAATAAACACTAACAATACAATTTTTTGCACACCTGATAATAAGTGTCACAAACTCCATAGGACATACTTATATGTGTGTATAGGATTGTATGTCTGTGACTCCCTGTTAAAACCTAAAGGGAAAGTCATCTCATTTTGATGCCTTTTAGGATTAGCATAACAGTTGCTGGCAATCATAATGTTTATTCAAATATACACTAATGGATTACATGTGTTGTTTATAGAGGCCAGTCATTTGTGTCTAATTTTGTTGCAAAAAGTGAAATCTTGTTGAGATATTGTTTGTTTTTTCTAGATGGCAATATTTTTCAAGAGAAGGTTCAATCAATCATGTACTTGAGAAATTCTAGCAGTGGTGGAAAATCTGTTGATAGCCCAGCTTTGGCTGTTACATGTCCAACTGGATTTTCTGCTACATATCAAGATGGTAAGTCATGTCTGTGCATTCTTAGTGACAAGGTTATTGCTAATGGCAGCAAATAGAAATAGAGGCAGATTATAGGAAGCAGTTGGTAGCATCAATAACATGCAACATCCCTGTGTTATTTGTTGGCATCTTGCTCTCAGAAGAATTGGATTAAATTGAAAATGGGATAGTGAGTGAAGCATATACATGCCTGAAAGATTATCAGGTGTGTGCATGTAATTTGGGAAATTTGCTTAAAATATTTCACCTCTAGTGCTTGTTTCTTGGTGAAATTTCAAAAGATATTTAAAATGGCACAGATTATACTGTGTTCATGACCATCTTGGAACATTTTCAGTTAGCACTTTTGAATATTCATTTTTACGCTTCTGGTGTTGCTCCCTGGTGGACTGAAGCATTATTTGGAAAACATGTGTGATATCATTTTTACTTTGAGGCAAAATGTGCTTGCACTAATGCTTTGTTCTTAAACCAATTAGCAGACTATATTTAGCTGAAATTTATTAAAGTGCAGCAGGAAAAAGAGTCTTTCTCCATCACCATCATTTAAGCATTACAAGCAGCAGCCTTGCAACCCTATGTATAGGCCTTTATTTGTGTATTAGAGCTCTTACTTAGAGGCTAATGTTATGTACAAATGTTTGTAACAAAGCTGCATCCTCCCATCTCCTCAAAGTAATCCTCCTTTTCAGCATACCCTTTTGAAAGAGGTGTGCTTCAAACTTGGGTGAAGCATGAATCAAAAACAGAACTGGCTGTTGTTGATAGATCTGAGAGGTATGAACTGAAGCAGGACATATCTCAACCTGATTATTCCTAAAGATCCATTAGGAATTTGGGGGGGACACAGAGATACAGACAGTGTGTGTCCCCCTCCCACTATTGATATATTTTCTGTATAGGAAAATGTGAGGAGCAGGGGAGAGGGAGTGAGGAGACATGATAGTTTCCCAAGCTTGGAAAGTTAAAAGTAATAGGTACTTGGTATTGTTCTTTAGTTACACCACCTTTTCTGAAACTAATATTTTACTCTTCTGTTTCTTAAAAGTTATTAAAATAATACTTTTAGTTACTAAAGCAAATTGGTAAGGTGCAAGCTGTTGGCCTGTGTTGCAAAACACACTCTCCTGCTCAGTAGCCACAATGGAGCACAAGGCAACAACACAAACTAGCACTTGAACCGTGTGATTGTCATCCTCCAGCATTTAGTGAGGCTACTTATAATCGTAACCATAAAAGAAAGTTTCAGTAAAAGTAACACTGTGAAAGGTGTTCATTTGACACACATTGAGTTATAATCCCAATGTAATGTAATCATACTTCCATTATTAGCAAGGGAAAAAGGAATTAATTACATTGTTAACTTCCACACTCACAATGAGTAGGTTTACCATAAGGCCATATAATTAATAAGTTGCATTCTACCCACAAAAGTGTTATATATAAAAATGTGGCACTACATTCCTCAGCAATAATTCAAAATGACTTTTTACATTTATTGGTCAAATGCAACTACAACTCTTCAAGAGATCCATAATTTCCAGGGCAGAAAAGGCAAGCACAATGATAGGAAGATACCTGTGTAAAAAGACTAATACATTTGAATGAAGTATTTCTGATCTATAAGAAGACAAGTTAGAAAAATCCTTGTAATGGTATACAACAAACTGAAATTTCTGTCTGACTGGCCTCTTCATTTTATCCTCTAGGTCTTTCAGTTTTTAGTTTTTATGTGAAGAATCTTTCCCTTACTGTAGTGTCTTAATTTGCTGCTCAATATTTCTGTGTTCCAGGACATCAGTTTGTTCTATTGGTATCACTGGAAATTCCTTGTTAGGAACGGTTGTGTATGTCCATTCATTCATTCATTCATTCATTCATTCATGCATTCATGCATTCATGCATTCATGCATTCATTCATTTGACTTGTATGCTGACCACACTCTGCAAGAGTCTCTGGGCAGCTTTCAACATCACTTTAAAATAGTTTAGTTTAAAAAAGACACACTAAAAACCAATATGGTTACAATAAAAAAACCCAATAAATGTTATCCTTACATAAAATTTGTTTTCCTACTTGCCTTGTAATAATTCCTATAGACATTAGCTTTGGTCCGAATAACATAACAGAAACAGTGGCTGGGCAAAGGTGAGGTGGAACATGTGACTTCTTCTAGGCTCTGGCAGAGCTCTAGTGTACATGACACATTAATTTCATCAAATTAAGTGGATGTGATAGTGATATTTGGAAAGGAGGAGCATTATTCAGAGTGGAATTGGCTGCTGATGAACAAGGCAAAGCTGTAAGTGTGTAAGTGAATCTAGTAATAGATGAAAACAGAACACTCTTAGATTTTCTCCAGAAGCAATTTTCAAATCTGATGCAGGAACAGTGATGTCTTTGTTTTGTAATTACCATTTTTATTCTGAATCAGTTTTAAGAAATTAGATTTTCTCCAGAAGCAATTTTCAAATCTGATGCAGGAACAGTGATGTCTTTGTTTTGTAATTACCATTTTTATTCCCTTTTATTCATTTCCTATTCTTGTTTCATCAGGAACATATTCTTCCGAAATAATTGGATCACATGCAGTAGTTTCTCAAGCAACCAGACGGCTCTGTAAAAGCCTACCAGCATCTCCTACTGCTTCTCCAGAAGCACATCAAAAAGGGTTCAGTGGGACTCTGGGCAGGAGTGTTGAAAACATCCCTGTAGTGAGAGAGACAGACCTATCTGAGCTGCTGCAAAAAAATAACTTTGTAAAGAACTTGGAAGCCATAAAAAGGAGGCAAGAGGAACATTTAATTAGCAGTTGTGAGTCTGCAGAAACAGTTGTAGAGGTGAAAGAATTAACTGAGACGTTAAATATTACAAAGCAAGAGACAGAAGTGTCAAACGAAACCCCTGAGGACCAAGGAGAAAGTGCAGAAGTGAAGCCCAGTGAAGACAGCACTGGTCCTGAATCATTTCTCAGGCGTCCTGACAACCTGAAGGGGTTGTCTCCCTTTCAGAGAAATCTCAGCAATTTTGCAGGCTTCGGATTAGACTTTTCTCTCCAAAGTGGGTCTGCTATTGCTCGGTGGCCAAGCCTGGCTGATAAGGGTTTGCCTTCTGAAGACTGGGAACATCTTGCTTTTTCATCATCTAGTGAACCGGCTCTTCAGGAACCTGAAAGTGCTGCTGATAGGTATGTACAGTGGTGCCTCGACTGACGAAATTAATCTGTTGGAACGGTGGCCGCAACTCGAAACCTTCATAAGTCGAAGCACCATTTCCCATAGGAATGCATTAAAAACCATTTAATCCGTTCTGGCTGTTTTTCGATTTTATGTAGAGGCGCAGTTCTTAAGTTGAAGCATTAGTTCCCATAGGAACTAATGCAAAGCCAGTTATTCCGTCCTCTACGACTAGGGGGAGAATTTTTCTTCTTTTGACCTAAGATGAACTTAGGTCAAAAAAAGGGCAGGAAAGGGAGGGGAGGCAACACCTTCTGAACAGAACACCTTTTAACCCAAGCACCTTTTAAAGAAAACCAAGCACCTTTTAGCTCAAAAAAGGAGGGGGGAGGGAACACCTTCTAAACAGAACACCTTTTAACCCAAGTACCTTTTAAACAAAACCAAGCACCTTTTAGGTTAAAAAAAAGGGCAGGAAAGGAGGGAGGGACTTTGCTCAATGACTTGTTTTCTCAAATTTGAACTCTTTTTCTTGACATGGCGTGTCCCTGCATGTACAATGATGCAAAGAAATCTATTGTTAACTGCCCATACACATACAGTCACCATCAGAATTTTTTTCACTTTGACATATATATTTTTTGCAGCGTAGTTTCTCCAGTATCTGTTACAGGCCAAAATTGAGGGTGATCCACTTGTGCAGTGGGAATGAGCTTATCACCAATGGCAAATTGCTGTTGATTAAACACTTCCTTTTTCATTGTTGAGATACACACAGCTTTTATTATATGCAAACTGTGTTTACCTGAAATGAAAAAGGAAGTCTTTAATCAGTGGCAATCTGCCAGTGATCACAACGTTCCTTGTATGGTACAGGTGAAGCTGCACAACAGGATTTGGGCCAATATGTAATTGCTCCAAAAACTGTTTACAAAGTGGATACTGTACTGCCACTTGTTAAGTTCTATTTCTTTATGTGACTTTTTTGCTTAAAAAAATTACTCTGTGGTCTTTCCTTTCAGACAGAACTTCAATTTACTAGCTACACAAATGGTGTAGCCATTAATTTAGCAAAACATGTAAGCATTATTACAATGAAACATAGAATTTTCCCCCTGTACTGTCTGGATGGATGTTTTTTTAAAAAAGGTCCCTGTAAGGAATATCGAAGCAATAGAATCATAACAGAAGCACAGAAGTTTCGTCAATGTATCATTGCTTTGGCTTGATTTCCCCTTCCTCTCCTATAAAGTTGGAGGCTCCTTGATGCAGCAGCCTCCTACTGGAAAACAGTACTAATGTTCAAGATATCTTAGTAATGAACTCTTTTTTCCCCATCAGGACAACAGAAGACTGTATTGTACTTGTATGCTGTGGCTTTTATCAACTCTTGCGTAAAGTTCTTTTAATTTTGCCGGATATCATGCTTCCAGATGTAATGGATAAGCTTATTCAGCCAGAGATTCTTATAGTTCTTGTGAACCATCCATCTGCTCTCATACAGCAAGGAGTTATTAAAGTAGGAAAAAGTGTGTTTGTGTGTGCATGTGTGTAATTGTGGGGGGTGGGCAGGGAATAGAAATTTACAATGTGAGTAAAATGTGTGAATTATTGGGAGAGCAATCCTCTTCCCCTCAGCTTCCTCTCTGCACCACAGTTCATCCCATTCAGGAGAGTCCCTTGTCCCTTTATGTTGCATGATCAGAGGCCTCTAGAATTTGGCAAGAGAAGAAACAGGCAGGGAATGCAGTTTGTATTAAACTTTTCCACCATAGAAAAAGCACATTCCTTGGAATATATGTACAAAAGCCAATATAACCCAACAACGAGGATACAATAACTAAGGATATAGATATGGTATAAACAATACAGTGGTGCCTCGCTTAGCGATGTTAATCCGTGCAGCAAAAATCGCTGCTAAGTGATTTCATCGCTAAGCAATATTAAAAAGCCCATATAAACGCATTAAAACCTGATTAATGCGTTCCTATGGGCTAAAAACTAACCTTAAAGCGAAGATCCTCCATAGGGGCGGCCATTTTCGATGCCTCTAGAGTCTAAAGCGAGGAAACACAGCGGGCGGCCATTTTGTTTCCCCGGCAGCCATTTTGAAACCGCCGATCACCTGGCTGAAAATAGGGGCTTTGCGATGATCGCTTCCCCGCGATCATCGCAAAGCGAAATTTCCCCATAGGGACCATCGCAAAGCGATCGCTCTTGCGATAGCAAAAAGTCCATCGCAAAGCGATTTCATCACTATACAGAGCGATCACTATGCGAGGCACTACTGTATAAGGAATTTCTCAGTATGATGACAGTAGCAATGAATTTGGGTATCAGTGTCATATATTGAATTTATTTGCATTCGAGTTACATTCATCTTTGAGTTGCTTAAGTTCTACCTCCAAATACAAAAGTCCCCATTCTCTCTCCCCTATCCCCTTACCTGTGAAGAAAGAATTTAGGGGGATAAATCAGCCACAGTAGACCCTTTGGAAAGAATGGGACTTCATAGTCACTAAGTCAGAATCCTGCTGCCCTATGTGATTGTGTAAGAGCAATTGTGCGAGTAGCATTGACTTGTTCCCTTGGCTGTCAGTAATGTGCCCTGTCCCTCTGCTTGTACAATTGATTGGGCATTCAGAAACATGACAGCCATACAGAAAAATAGAAAAATGCTTTTAGATGTACAGAAATATGTAATGAGTGTTTAGCCATTGGGTTCATTGTAGTTTCAACTAACCACGGTTTTCATCAGTTGACAGAGAAGTCAATGTAGTTACAACAAGTTTCTAACAATGAATAATCAACCTCCCCGTCACTAATTATGCAAGCAGTACATCAGTTTCTCATTTTGATGAAGCATATTGTGACTGTTAAAAAAAGTGTTGAAGGCCTGTTAATGGGTGATGTACCAATATTAAAAGTATATTAAGAAAAATAAATGTGATAGAAGAGGTGTTCTTAAAAATCAGAATAAATTAAAATATAAAATTATTCTTTTTCTTCTTCTTCTTCTGCCTAGCTCTTGGACACATATTTCAACAGAGCAACCAAGGAACAAAAGGAGAAATTCTTGAAGAATCGAGGTTTTTCCTTATTAGCTAACCAGTTGTACCTTCACCAAGGAACTCAAGAACTTGTGGAATGTTTTATGGAAATGCTGTTTGGTCAATCAGTTGGCCTTGATGAAGAGTAACTACTTTTTTTTTCTTTTTTCTTTTGGTCTTACTTTATCAATTAGCACGTATGTAGTTGAAATGAAGATGTAGCCAAGTGTTGCAAGCTAATGTCAATTGCTGGCCACATACTTGCATGTGCCTACAAATATCCTTTTCCTTGCTATGCTGTAAGTTCTGCCCAAAAGCTCCAGTTTATTTACCATTCCCTAAATTTCCCTAAAGAAAATTAACCTATTGATCAATATTTTTGCTTAGCTTTCTTGTTTGTTTGTTTACGTCCTACTGGTATAACAGCTCTTAAATAATAGTAAAAGTAAAGAGCGAATTTACTAAGCTTCCTGTGATGAAAAAAACACAATTATTTGATCTGAGAACAGTTTCTTAGACAAAGCTTTATAAGGAATTCACGGATTGGAATGTCTCCAGGTCCCATCTGCTCTGTTACATAATTAAATCTGATTGTTGTTCAAAGAATGAATCAAATATTACTCAGATTGCTTTGATTAATTTTCAGTACAGTAAATATCAGCCAGGAAACTGTGCAGAAGATCTTTGTCAGGAAATTAATGCACATGGAAGGGCTGGACTGTTGTGAAGATAACTTTTGATCCCCTGGCTGCCTCTGATTTCTTAAGCCAGGGTTCAGTAAAGCACGGCCTATGGGTCTTGACGCCCCCTTGGCCTCCCTAAAACCCAAGACCTCCCAATTTGGAAATATTTTTTTGCCCTCCCAAAATGCAAATTTTGCCTCTTAGAGGCTTCTGAGGAGTGTGCTGTGCATGTTGAACACAATCCCTCTGCCAGTCATTTTCTGAAAAAAAGTCTTTGAAGGCTGAAAACACCCCACAAGGGGGCGAAATGGGACTGTATAGTATAAACAGTGTGCACAATGTTAAGGTGTATGCAATTTTCAGGCCAATTATTTTCGTGGTGATTTTGGCACTGGAGAGGAATTTGCAACCCACCAATTTCTTGGAAGGGCAAAAATGACCCCTTAGGCCCTTGAAAGCTATCCCATGACTAGACATAGGCTATTCGTATTCATGTATCTGGGAATACAGATACAAATCGTAGCACCACAGGTGCCACAGAGGCCCATTCTCTCCCCCCAGAACCGGCCAGTCCATTTGTTTACAGCATGGCATGTGGCTCCATCATCATCATTGTTACACAACCCTGCCTCCCTGTGCAGCTGACCACTTTGATGCAGAGATGGGGCGGGAAGTCTTCCTGCTCAGCTGATGAGTGTTGGCTGTGTGGGGAGGCAGGGAAAAGCTGGCTGGGTTCCATCCGCAATTGGCACCGTGACAACAGAGCTGAATGCTGCATGGCAAACAGTGAGTAGACCGCCCGGTTCTGGGGGGAGTGAATGGGCCTCCATGGCACCTGTGGTGCCGTGATTTTTATTCGTATCCCCAGGGATACAAGTACAAAAAGCCATGTCTACTTCTGACATGAAGGTAAATTGCTATCTCTAAATTTTTAATCTATTCCCAACTGTCAACCTACCCTAAAGTAAGAACATTTGCACCCATTCGGAAACAGTAGGAGAAGATGATGTAGATGCTTCTTAACATGTGAGAAGTAAGTCTGAGAAAGGACTTCTAAAACAGCATTAGATTTTGAAATTATGTCTTTCATTTTATGAAGGTGATTCTGCTTTCATTTTTAGTTAAGAAATTATAGTTAACAAATAGAGCATGAGTACTAATGTTATTTTTGCTGGTTTTGGTGAAATTGGTGGCATTTTCTTGAATGAAGATGCTCATAAAGTTATTCTTCTTAAACCAATAAGATTTTGAGAGGTGATGCTTTTTGCCTAGCAAACCATCACTCACTCTCAGGAAGAGAAAGTTTAACCCCAAAGAATGATGTGCCAACACCCAGTGGTTCTAATCTTGCATACAGAGGAGTGGAAGTATCATTCAAATCAGGGAAGGCACCAAATTCTGTTCATAGAGTTGTGTTGAGCCAGCTCTTGCTTTTAAGGCATTAAAAGAGGAGGAAGGTTTCTCATCCATGATATAATGGATATAATCAGAGCAGTATATCATCTGTTCATGGTCAATGTATTTTATTCATAGCAAAAAGTAATATGTTTTCATCTTCATGGTGGTTCTAGCTCCAAATGGACTTACCAAAGTCAGTAGTATGTCAAGTAGGATTTCTGTTTCTTGTACTGGTATGATTTTTCTTGGCCAATAATATAGGAGCTGAATTGTGAGCTCTAGGTTAAACCCTAGTGCTTAGTGAACTAGCAAATTAGCTACTTAGGATAATGTAGTATTGAATTGTTGTGAGTTTAAATAGCACAATATAAAATAGCACTTTTTGCTTTATTGTTTGTTTATAGGCCTTTTTATAGCTGAACTAATATTGTATATGACCATGTAAATCGAAGTTTTGTCTTGGATTTATAGCCAGTAGAAAATTTTCCTAGTGCTCCTAACTTTGAAATGTTGACAAGTAATGGATTGATTTTGTTTATGTGTGATGTATTTCAGATTGTACTGCAAACTGTTCCACTGTTTCTTTGTTTGTTTGTTTTAACAGCTTTGACCTAGAAGATGTGAAAAATGCCGGACTTTTTCAGAAATGGTGTGTGATTCCTGTTCTGGGCCTTATAGAGAATTCCCTCTATGATAGCATCCTGCTGCATAATTCCCTCTGTTTTCTGCTACAAATCATACGTTCCTGCTCTAAAATGACGGACATGCTGCTGGATAATGGCTTGTTGTATGTACTGTGTAATACTTTAGCAGCACTTAATGGGTTAGAAACTAGGTAAGTGGTTGTTTTCTTTTGTACTATTTCAGAATCGCTGCAGAATGTAAACTATTCTAGTGAGTGCATCAAAGAGGTCACAACTTTTTGTTTCTAACACAAGTCATAGATTTTTTGCTTGAGAAAATCTCCATCAAAATCATGGCCCATGTTAGAAACATTTATAAAACCTTATGACAGTGTTGTTTGAGAGTAGTTATCATTTTAAAAATTGCATCATTTTTTGTAATTAAATGTAGCCATGTTTTATATGTTGTAAACAAATTTCATTTTTTTTGTCTCTGAAAAGGGAGTTCTTGCTACTATTTTTTTTCCTGCTCCAATGAGCTTATGGAGAGTGGTCATTAAGCCAGAACCATGTCAGAAATAAAAGTAATTCAGAATTTAGTAAAGTGCCCAAAAGTCATGGTAAAAAGTCATGATCACCATCACTGCATGCTGTCAAGTCAATTCTGACTTTTGACAACCTTTCCAAGGTTTTCCAGGTAGACCAATACTCAGAAGTGGTTTACCACTTCCTCCTTCTGAGGGCACCCTGAGGCTATGCAGCTTGCTTAAGACATCATGGGCCGGTTCTTTTCCCAGGAAGCACACTAGGAAATCAAACTCTCAACCTCTTGCTCCTTGGACAGATACGTAAACCACTGAGCTGTTCATAGATGTTCATAAAAAATAGAAATATATTGCATTAGAAATCATCATCGTCAATATCCCCTCCATGGGCACAGGCTTTGTTGAAGTGGAGGGGCTTGTGTGATTCAGTAAGGTTGAGAGCTATGCTGAAGCGTCTCATCTCAGCTGAGAAGCCAAACCAACTGTGTCCATCAACCATCAATTATGATGATGAGGAATAAACAAAAATCCATACAAGATGAGTCAACAAGTACTATGTCAGATGCTATAGCCCCTGGGCATCTGGTGATAAATGGGCTACAGGACTCAGCAGGCCTTGTTGAGGAACCAGAACAGGCTGCTGCAAAGCTACGGGAACAACATAAACGCAAAACTTGGAACTCTCACTGAAAATTGAGAAATTAAGAACTGTTATTATGAGGCAAACCAACAGCCCATGGTTTTCAAAAAAGAATGATGGAAATTTGGAAAAGGAAACACCCAAGTAGTGACATAACTGAACAACAATTAATGGACCAGAGAAGGTTTATCATCTGGAGTAAAGTATTTTGAGAACTGGAATTGCAAGAACTGGAAAATGTGGCAAACACAGAAAAATCAACACAGAACAGTGACCATAGTATGGAAGAGAAATGGAAGGTAGAGGTAGACGCAATAGTGGAAGAAAACATATCAATAGAGGAACAACTTCTGAAACAACCCAGAAATTAAGAGTTGACAGGACAGCAAACATCATTGAGAGAAAAAATAGTAAACCATATTAGTCAGAACACAGGAAGACAAAGGGCCCCCAATTTGTGCCAATTACAAAGTAAACCAGTAAAAGATCTGCTGAATGATGCAAATATAGTCATCGAAACATTCCCAACAACATGCTAAAGAAAACAAACCAACTCATATATAGCACGGCTACCATCATAACCATGGAACTTGGTTACAATCTGAAAAAAAAGAAAAAGAAAAAAACAGAAAACTACTTGCACTCCAAAATGGAAAATTCATTTGGAAAGAAAAATAAACAAATTACGGGCAGACATTAGCAATTTAAAACACTTGAAAGGTTCAAAACTTAAAAATGAAAAAGTAAAAACCAGACAATGCAAAATATATGACTTAGAAAGGAAAACAATGGTTGAAACTATGGAAGAATTAAAACAGCAGGTAACAGCTACAGTAAAGAAAATTGAAAGATATGATGGACAGTTGAAACAATATAGAGAAAACATGCAGTTTCAAGATAACCAACAGTTATTCTATATATTACCAGGAGAAAATGCAGAGCAAAAGAAATTAGGCGGAAACAATATAGAGAAAACATGCAGTTTCAAGATAACCAACAGTTATTCTATATATTACCAGGAGAAAATGCAGAGCAAAAGAAATTAGGCGGATGTAAAGATGATGCTCTAAAATTCTAGAAAGAAATGTGGGAAAGCTCAACCAAACATACTAAAAGTGCTTCATAGATTAAAAAACATAACAAAAACGCCTCATGGATTAAATAACAACTGAAATGATCAGGAGGCAAATAAAGGCTGTGAAAAATTGGAGTGCACCTGGTTCCAGATGAGCTGCATGGATTTTGGTTAAAGCATCTAACTAGTCTCCATCAATGTATAGTAGTGTATTGATTGCTGGGGGTTTTCTAAGGTCTTTGGCCATGTTCTGAAGGTTGTTCTTCCTAACGTTTCGCCCGTCTCTGTGGCCGGCATCTTCAGAGGACAGGAGTAGCACTCTGTGCTCTGGTGCAGTTTGTTTTGGGAGTTGAGTATTTATAGCTGTTGGATCAGCTTTGTCCTTTTCAGAAGATGGGTGATTATGGTGATCAGTGTGTTTTTGTTATGGGTGTATTGTTGTGATAAGGAGAGATTATCTGTCATTGTGATTGATGGGTGTCGTTAGCTGGTCTTTTGTGTGTAATGATAACCAGTCCCTATAGCTGGGTAGAGTCCGTTGACCTTTTGCAGGCTGTATTTTTCAGTGCCAAGCTTTGTTGAGTTTTAAACTTTCTTCTTTTTTTGTTGAAGCTCTGATGCTGTTTATGGATTTCAATGGCTTTCCCGTGCAGTCTAATGTAATATTGCTGGTGTTGTCCAATATTTCAGTATTTTGAACTAGAAGTTCATGTCCAGCTTGTTTTAGAGCACATGTCCAGCTTGTTTTAGGGCATGTTAAAAATGGCAATCTTATAAAATCACTCTGAAGTGATGAAAAGTATAAATACCATGGAATACTAGAAGCAGATAACATCATGCACACAAAAGGTAAAGAACTTACAGAAAGGGAATCCCAGGACAGAAGGGACACCCTCACGACTGCAGGAGTATACCATATACCTTGCAGTTGTCACCAGGTATATATTGGATCCACAAGATGAAACATCCACATCAGACTAAAACAACCGGAAAAATCGGCAGTAGCTGAACATGCCCTAAAACAAGCTGGACATGAAATTCTAGTTCAAAATACTGCAATACTGGACAACACCAGCAATATTACGTAAAACTCAACAAAGCTTGGCTCCTAGCACTGAAAAATACAGCCTGCAAAAGGTCAACGAACTCTACCCAGCCACAGGGACTGGTGATCACTACACACAAAAGCCCAACTAACGACGCCCATCAATCACAATGACAGATAATCTCTCCTCCTTATCACAACAATACACCCACAACAAAAACACACTGATCACCATAATCACCCATCTTCTGAAAAAGACAAAGCTGATCCAACAGCTATAATTACTCAACTCCCAAACAAACTGCACCAGAGCACAGCTACTCCTGTCCTCTGAAGATGCCAGCCATGGAGACTGGCAAAACGTTAGGAAGAACAACCTTCAGAACACAGCCAAAGAGCCTGAAAAACCCACAACAACCATTAGATCTTGGCCATGAAAGTGTTCGCGAATACATATAGTAGTGTAATTTAACCACTTACTTCAAAATTCTACAACTGTAGACTGAATGACAACAGGCTGCACATTTCTGATAATAAAAGATCATGAAAAGGGCAATGAACCCAGTAATTATCGACCAATGCTTTCCAACAGTGTTCAAGCTCCTCATAGGAGTACTTGCAAAATCAATATATAATTGCTTAACTGAAAACTCCCAGTACCCAACTGAACAGAAAGGGAACTTTAAGAAGTCAAGAGGCAATAAATGATACTGAAGAATGCAAAGAGACGAAAAACCTTAACATTGCCTGAATAGACTATTAAAAGGCATTTTACACATTGCCACACAGCTGGATGAACTCCTGCCTAAAAATGTTTGGGATTAGTAAAAACCATTCAGAAGTTCCTCAAGAAAAACATGAAAAAATGAAAAACCATCTTAATGGCCCATGGTGAAGAAATTGGGGAAGTTAGCATCAAAAGAGGAATATTTCAAGGAGATTCTTTGTCATCACTGTTACTTAACATCTCACAAATCCCTGTGTCAATAATTTAAAATAAAACTGGATAGGGCTACCATATTTCAGAACAGGCACGAAAAATCAATCATCTGTTATACATGGACAACCTAAAATTATATGCAAAAAGTTCTACAGAGATAGAATCACTACTGAACACAGTACAAATGTTTAGTAAAGATATCCAAATGAAATTTGGAATTGACAAATGTGCAGCTGTATCTATACACTGTGGCAAGATCCAAAAACTAGAGTTAAAAATGGCAATATCATAAAATCACTCTCAAGTGATGAAAATCATAAATACCTGGGAATACTAGAAGCAGATAGCATCATGCACACAAAAGGTAGAACTTACAGAAAGGGAATATATCAAGTAGTAGTGTTTGTTTGCCATACTCATATTATTTAGCTGTTAATGGTGTCTAAAACTTGTTCAGGATACTAGTCGCTATGCAATGCACAGATGGACTATGTTTCTATGAATTCCTTCTAGAATATATGAAGTTTTTATCACACAGACAGATTTTAAGATGGAAAGGGAAAGTTTAGGTGTTGGCAAACAACTAATGGGAATGTGATAAGTTGGGTCGGTTGATGTTGAATATTTGGCTAATGCTTTCAGAAAAATATGAAATTTCCATGACTGATTCCGCTTTCTTTGCAGCATCCTCTCAGATGACTATAGGCTACTTGTGTGTGATATACAGCAGTTACTTGTAGCAGTGACCATCCATGCCTGCAGTTCTTCAGGTCCCCAGTATTTTCGCATTATTGAAGATCTTATGGTATTATTGGGACATCTTCAGAACAGCAAGAATGAAATAACAAAAAGTAAGCTTCAGGTTGCTTTGTGTAGATATATTGAGGAGTAATTTTCTTTGAATTGCTTCATCTGCTGAATAGTTTGAAGGGATGCATGCTAGTTCATTTGATCTCTGCTTTCAGATATGGCAATTGCTTTGCAGTTCAGAGTCCTGCAAGCAGCTGTTGAGTTTATAAAAACTGCAGGAAATCAAGACTCTGAAGAATTGAGCAGTTCATTCAATTTACCTGTTACACATCACCAGGCAATATTTCAAAAACGCAAAAGCATTGCTGGTAAGTAATGAAATCAAACATGATTATCTCTAACTAGACTTGAGCACCATTTATAATGAAATTTGTTCCCTTGCTTTTTGTACAGATTTCTATGTAATTTTTAGACACTTTGCCTTGATGGGAGTTTAAACCCAGATCTCACCAGCAGTCTATCCACCTTACTGTCTCTGTTGGCCATCCTGTGCAGTTTATTTTGAAAAATCTGTATATATTCTTGTATTCATTTGTGTCCTTTGCAACATTAGTTCTCCAAGTCCTTCTATTGGAAGCAAGAGAGAGAGAGAGAGATATGCATGTCCACATCTGTGCATAGCTTGGAACATTAGGTTTGAAAATGGATTCATTAGTGTTAATTATTAGAAATTTGTAAATTAATTTGTTGTGAATATTAAAATAGAAAAAATTTACCTGCTGGCATTGCAGTATTAATTTATTAATTAAATTGTCCTAATATAGTAGGAATTATAAGGCTCCACATTTGCCCTTTGCTCCTTCTGACATGCTATTTATATTGTTTATAAATTTCCCTTCCCAATGTACTTATTTGCCCTAAACAAGTCAGAGAACTCACAATGCAGGTGATATTTAACAGGATCTAACACATCTCGAAGCTATGAGGGTTGGAAAGACTATTTGTGTTAGGACAGAGAACTATTTTTACAAACATCTAGAAAACACCTATCCATTACTATTGTTTAAATTTATTTATTTATTTATTCTATTTATATCCCGCCTATCTGGTCTTGCGACCACTTTAGGCGGCTGTTACTGTACTACCTATTACTAATATGCAAAACTGAGAACCAATAACTCCTCATCTGCTTTTACAGCTAAGAACCAATAATTCTTTAATCTGTTTTCACAAAGCACACTACCACAGATGCATGACAGGGTATAGAAAGAATTAGCAATTCTAAAAATCTCAGCTTCTCCGTATGACTGTTTCAGGTCACAGCAACCAGTTTTTAACATGTGCACCCCTCCACAAAGTGGGTGGGACAACTGAAAACATGTGGTTCTTGACTCCCATGGAAAATTTATGTTCAGAATATTGTTTGAAGTTCTGAGAATTTATTTGACGCCAAAGTAGCCTCTGACTCAAAAGTGAGGGGGGGGGGAAGAGTTGGGATCATTTACATAGATCCAGTGTTAAGCACAGTTTTCTTGGCAGAATAGCCAAAGAAATTGTATTCATGAACCAGTTTCAGCACAAAAGAAGATCATGCTTTATTTATTCATAGCACTCCAGAATGTAAAATGAACGGTGCAGTTGTACCTATGGCCTTCTAAAACCTTCCTATAGGTATATGCTTAGCCACCATGTGAATGTGGTATTAAAACCAGATGGACTCCTGGTTTTATTTAACACATCTCTTAATAGTTTCAAATAAAAAGTAGCTTTGTGTAAAGTCATAACTCTTTGTAACACCATAGATATGCATACTTCTTACATTCTTAAAAAATTAATCCCACCTGGCCAGCAATGCTTACTTAAAAAAAAAAAGAATGTTTCCGTTTCTGAGTTCCTTCTGCATTTAATGCATCCTCCTTTTCTAGTGGGAGCTGATTATTTTGAATATGATGGGTTCTTCTTATAGAGTAGTAATGATTGTCCTGCTAGTTATCAATATGAAGGGTTATATGTACAATTTTGCACATCTTTAACTCCATTATTACATGGAGCTGTGTCAAAATTGCAAGTGACAATCTTGCTTTGCAGGAACTAATGTTAAATTCCTGAAAGCTAAAGAATTTCATGAACTACGGCTTTGAAAGGCTTTTGTCCAAGAACTTGGAGAATCAATGGAACATACGAGGAAGCTGAATCAACAAATCCTCATTGTTTCAGTTGACCTACCCCTAGTGTGATTTACTATGCCAGGTAACAAGATCAGGGCAGAACTCATATACCCCTTCATCCAGATACATTTATAAGGGGGGCACCATAACAAAGCACAACTGAAGGAAAGGTAGCCTTAGACACATTTGACTTCATTTGGCCTGAAGTAGTAGATGGCCTTATCACATACAGTACTGACCTTTTCGTATCCATAGAGCCAGTTCAGCTATTTGCATGATTTTCTTTATTTTCTTCATATTACAAATCATTTTGTAACCTCGCTTTGTAACAAGATGCTATCTATGTACTGTACCTATTTTAGTTGACTTATTACTCAAAACATACTTTTTGTTACTTGCTTTGAAACAAAGGATCAGTTGCAATGAAAGACTCCATTATTTCTCTTCTGCCAAGACAACATTTACATTCCTATGATCAACTTCAGATATTTCCTTCCTTCAGTCTGTTAAACTTGGAATCGGCCCTCTTATCCCCTCTTGGATCTACTTTTTGTTCATTTCCTACAGGAGCAGGTGCAGTATTGGTAGCTATGCCTACCAAATCATTGTGACAAAACATTTCTTGTGAAATGTTTTTGCAAAATTAGATTTAGAGCAGTGTACACATGTTAACCAGTTAGATTTGTTAAACCCTTTTTGACAGTTAACCTGACTAAATCAAATTCCTAACATAGTGTTCATCTTAAAATAAATTGAAAATATTTTCTGTTGTAATCACAGTAATTTTGTAGGTAAATGAGAATTAACTCTCAGTTATCTGCAATATTAGCATAAAGCTTAATATTTAGAGATGCTTATCAGTAGCTGTCTTATTTACATTTCTTCATTTTTAAAGCTTCTAGAAAATTTTCTCTTGCTCAGTCGGACACATTGCTAACAAGAATGAGTACAATTACAAGTGATGAACTCAGTTTTATGGCAAAACGGAGACTGAGTCAAGATAATCCTGTTCGTGCGACTGAAGCAGAGCTTATACAAAGATTACAGAGAATTGCTGTTCTGGCAACCAATAGATTCATTTATCAAGGTAAAAATAGTTCTTGAAAAATATTCTTAGAATTTGGCCTATTTTCTAATAGGTATATTGAATATCATGTTGAGTAAATCTTTGTAAACTATTGCCTTTGCTGAGCTGAAGAGGATGTTTCCATTTTTCACTTCCTCTGCTCTATATGGTAATCTTTTGATTGTAGACAGACTGGATTCACGTATAGGTTTTAAACATGAGAGATCTGGTCTTAATGTAAGGAGCCAAAATTAAATAATTTACCTATAATTGAGAGTGCTCGGCATTGTAATATTGTATAACTGGGATTAAAAATCTGTATATTAAACATTAGTCAGATTGGTAATTATATGTTAAGCCAAGAGGGGTGCGATGATAACTTCCTCAATGGCTCAAGGGGGCATTTCTTTCAAAAAGGTTAAGAACCACTGTGTTAAGCCAGCAACAGAAAGAATAACTTTTATTGTTTATTGATTTAATCATGTGATTGCTTTACGATATATTTTGATAGTTATAATGATGATTTTATATGATTATATTTTATGATATTTTATAACCGTTTGTAAGCCGCCCAGAGTAGACTTTGTCTAGAGGGGTGGGGTGGAAGTCAAATAATAAATAAATAAATAAAATTAACACGCTGAAAGTTGTACTAATTTAATTGTTTGAGTTCAGTCTGTATTAGATTTTCTCCAAATTTTTAAAATATTACTATCTTTCTTCTATCTTGGCTAGCTCTGCATGGCTCAGACAAGACAGCTTTGCTTAATTTCCATGAATTTTTCTCTCTCAGTGTACTGTCCGACATGACATCCTAGGTTTTGTGGGAGGAAGCAACTTAGAATTTATTTATTTTTAGGAGTGGAGAGAGTTGTGGTACAGTGGCGAAGGCCTCTTGTTTGTATCAGGGAGAAAGGGGAAGTGTAAACTATCTCTTTGTGGCAGTATCCGTGGATTTTCTGGTGTGGCTCAAAGTGAACTTGCAGCTCCCCTCCCTGTCACTTGGAACAGGACACAGTGATAGAGGGTGAGGGAATGCAGAACAGAGTGTGACTTCAGGAGTGGGGACATTTTCCTACACACTATAAAAAAAGAGGAAGGATTTGCATGGCCGGTTGTTTTAAGTGATACTCATGTGTTAAGTATCACATCTTCTTTGAGCCAGTGTTTTTTTCTCTTATAAACTCCTGGGAAACATGTAGAGTATTTCTGGGACTCATTCCAATCTCCTCAGTCTCTTGGGCTCTAGAGGGATTGAACTATAAACCACATCATTCCAAGCCAGTGCAGCAAGGAAGAAGTCACAAGACCAGAGAAGGCTGTCCTATTCATTTCTTGCATTCTCCCCCTTCCTACATGACAGGATGTTTTTAAACTGGGGAAAGGTCGTGCTTCATTTGCTTATCTTTTATGTGATATCTGTTTAGCAAATAATTCTCCTCCTTTTTATCTACGTTGGTTTTTTCTTCAGATCACTGAGAATTTGTCATTTCAGAAATAACAGAATAGTATAACAATTTTCAGAGATGCATGTTATCTTAATTCTATTTTTCTTCTTTTTTAAAAAAAAAGAAAAGTACATACAGTGATGTATCAGGTGACTGAACTTAATAAACTTATTCATTCATTCATTCATTCACTCATTCCATTTATACACCTCCACTAAAAAATAGTGCAGATCACAGGTTACAAACATTTAGAAGGATAAAAACAGATAAAACCACATGTAGCTTAAAAATAAAATTGAAATCATATAAACTAGCCCCACCATAAAAATTAATGTAAGGAGATTAATTAAAAACTGTTCAAATTATCAAAAGATATACAGTGGTACCTCAACTTACGAACTTAATCAATTCCAGAACGTGGTCGTAACTCGAAATGGTTGTAAGTCAAAGTACCATTTCCCATAGGAATGCATTGAAACATGATTAATCCATTCCGGCCAAAAAAAAAAAAAAAAATCACCCCCCCCCAAAAAAAACCACTGCAAGGCCCATCGGAAACACAATTAATCCATTCCGGCCAAAGGAAAAAAAACCCTAAAAAGGAAACAAACCCTGCAAGACCGATCAGAAATGCGAAAAACAAACAAACAACAAAGACTACAAGACCCGTCACAGCACAGAAACATAACCCCCAGCCCAAAACCACGCTGCAAAACCCACCCAGAACAGGCAGTATTTAAAAAGCAGAAAGCAGCACCTTACCAGGCAGTCCAAAGCCTCCTCCAGATACACACTCTCTAACGGCTGGGGTGAAAGAGCTACAAAGAAGCGGCCTCTTTGCCACCAATGGTTAGCAGTTTGAATTCTCTGCCTTTTTCCCTGCCTTTTTTCTGATCATAACTCAAAGCTCCAGTTGCAGGTCAAAGGAAAAATTTTGTTTCCCAAGCTGGTCATGACTCGAATTGGTCGTAAGTCAAGGCACCACTGCAGATTAAAAATGACAAAGCAGGGCAGATTGTATATCATAAAAAGTTGTGGTTTTACTCCTTTCTTAGTCTATCAAGGGGAATCAGATTGCAGTTTGGAAGGGACTGCATTGTACTGTATAGTCTAATAGCTCTCTCCTATATGCTTATTAAGCCAGGTGTCCAGCACTGTTAGTATTTTTAAGAGGTCTTCTGCTGATGATCTTAATATTCAGACATGCTCATGACAAGACAAGGGGTCTCTTAGATAGCCAGGCCTCAAACCACCTAAGACTTTAAAGATTAAAACCAGCACCTTGAATTGGGCACAGTAAGCAATTCGTAACCAGTGCAGGTCTTTCCGTATCACTTCTCTGAGAGCTGCAATGGATTGCTTCCTACATGAATGAAGAAATAGTAGGGTAGTTTTGTGTGTCTTCTACTTATAATGAAAACAAATGTAATTTTAAAAAGGAGTAGTATTATTGGGATCAGGTGATCACAATATTGTACACATGCTGGCATTTTAAGGTCTGAGACTCTGTTCAAGGGTAGCCCCATGTAGAACATATTGCAGTAGTCAAGGCATGATGCAACTGAGGCATGCATGACTATTGCTAAGTCAGATCAACTCAAAAAGTCATAGCTGGTGCACTAAGTGAAATTATACAAACACTTCCAATTGTATTGCCATATACACCTTCAGAATTATATTTCCCACTGGCACTATTTTTTCAAGAGGATATTCACAAATTTTCATGTTTAATTAAAATGTATTTCACCTATACCTTTAAAAAGAATTGAAATATTTACACAATAGCATATAAATAGGAAAGTCTTTTTAGCAATTCGGGATATGTTTAAAATTGAACACAATGACTTTTTTTTAACTTAGTGTGTATGTGTTTGGTTTTTCAAGTTATTCAGTTAGCATGGGTGGCTTACAACACAGTAAAACAATAGCACTTTAAAAATATACAACATAGTGGTTATACAGAAATCAAAATTACAATATACAATCACAAATAAAATAAAACAACATAAACATAAATACCACTAATTTAAAAGGCAGGATGGGGAAGCAGAAATGAGTGCTGAAAAATTACCACTGTATTATCATGATGTAATCTTCAGAAAAGCCTGTCTGAAAAGCCATCGTTACATACTTCTATGAGTCTATGAAGGCGTGAAGTATCTTGATGCAGATCTTGTATAATGTAATCAAATCTTTATTAGATCTGTTGCAAGGGATGTGAATGTATGTAGATAGATAGATAGACAGATAGACAGATAGATAGTGATAATATAATGCTTGGTTGACTTGGGTCAGAGAAGGATGAAAATGGCCCTCAGATGGATTGGTCTGATCAGGTAATAATTCTTTTCTTAAATTACAGAGCTTTCTGAAAATTTCCTTGATATGATGGAGGGCCCAGTTGAAAGCAAACTTTCAGTTTCACAATTGGAAGAGCCTGAAAAGGAGGACCAACAAGAGATGCCAAACCACAGAAATATTTTCATGAAAGAAATGTTTAAAATAATGACTGAAGGAATGGCATTGTCAGCTGTAAGAAACCATACTTCTCACTCTTTCCCATAGTTCATTGTCTCTCCTATCTCCAGTTTGCTTGCATACTCTGGAAATACAGATATTAATGTTAATCTCTTTTATTATTTTTCAGAAGCTGTTTTTGATTATAAATACAGTGGTGCCTCGCTTGATTGCCTCGTTTAGCGATGTTTTCGCTTAACAATGGTTTTTTAAAAAGAATTTTATGCATCATTTAACGATGTTTCCTATGGGCGATTTTCGCTTAGCGATTTCAGGATCATGCTTCACATAGCAAATGCATTTTTAGGTCAACTGTTTCGCTTAACGATGTCCGTTTTTTCAATTTTAAAAGTGTCTTAAAATGTTCAAAAATGTTTTAAATGCTTGGAATCGTTAGTGCACCTACTAAAAC